TTATTACACGCTCCGTTTTCCGGGTAGCCGGTGCCGAGGATCCGGCGGCGACAGTGAAGTGTACAGCCGTGTAGATACGTAGCCTTTCACATGATCCGGTACGGTACGTTATAATGCACATTCGCCGCTAGCTACTTAGCGAAATCTGCTACGTGAAAAATAAACTAGAGGCCAGTCTTACCTTTGCTTGCTATTTTCTGATTTCATGAAGATTGATGTCAAATTTCTCTACACGCAAACCTTGTCCCGATAATGACGAAAGTAATAAAATATATGAATGAACACTCTCACAAGTATTGAACAATTTGGTTACATCATTTACGTGTTTAAAAACACCGACAATCTTAACAATAGCCGGAGTTTCATTAGTTAACCTATCAAAAACATTACTGCACACCACGCCGAACGGATATACATATTGTAGTAACTAGATAATAATGAGTAGAACATAGTAACTATATTTGTTATATCATCACAATTTAAAATAAAGCATAACTAGGTACTACATTAGTAATATCTCATAGCATTATCCGTCTCAACAAGGGCGAAATGAATGTATGTACAAGCAGTACAAGTGCATTAAGAGTATCATTAATCGGACGCCATACATCAATCTCTAAAATGTCATTTTAATAAATGGATTTTTTACTTTACGGTCACGTAATAAATTCGAAAGTGTGTGAAGTATGTGATAAACAGGGTAGTTTCATGTGATATCTACACTAATCTAGAGTAATAATATAAAGAGGAAAGATTTGATTTTTTGTTTGTTTGAATGGAATAGGCTCCGAAATTACAAAACAATAGGCTACAATGAGGGTCTGATACAAAGGCACTTTCGGGGTGATTAAGCTCAGCTGCTTTTGCGTTAGATTAGACAGCTCACGGACGTAGATACGTAGATAGAATGCTTGGCAGCATGTTGGTTCGGCTGCACTGGACAATACTCAAATGTAGTCTGTACTTAGTTCAGATTCCAATCATAGGTAATTTAATAAATTGATTCCGATGAAGGCAATCTAACTTTTTTGTGGCATCGAACTTTTCTTTCTTTATTGAAACAAGGAGTTTATTATGTGAGCACCATGTTAGACTATAATATATTCCTTTTATCTTTGTTTTGTTTTCGTTTTCATCCCGCGGCAAAACAACTTGCCATAAGAAGTACCTACTTTCGAGAAGTACTGTATAAAGTAAAAAAAAAGTGTTCATATTCATACAAATTCGCACATGAAACACTAGACGTAGGTTAAGCACTATTCGTATTAAACGTGCCTCGAGAATTACATGGCGTGTTGTTTTGATTATGTACTATGAGTTCGTACGCGCTTTCGAAGTTTGCCTTTTGCTATGTTTCATCAGTTATTTTTTGTTATAAAAATATTTTTTTCTTGTAAAACTATTGTGTTACCAATACCGAACTATTTTATTTCGGGACGAAAACGAAATAGATTTCACGGTGTATAGGAATTGTATAAAAATACGTATGTAGTATACCGCCATTTCCGAAGTTCCGCGCCATGTTGAATTTAAAATCACGTCACTAAGCATGCATTATTATTCAAACTCGGGAATAGACAGGGTTTGGCGCACGGACCGACCGTTTTCAGGAATTTGAGAGGTCATTGGCTATCTTTTACTCGAAAATCCTTCGTCCGACATGTGACAGACCGTAATTTTTTTTTAATGAAATGACCTCTCTAGCTCCTTGATAAAATGTTTCGGTCAATGCGCCAAGCACCCTGTACTTATTTCAAATCAGTCAGTTGATAACAATACAGTTAATAACATATCTTATACTATTATAGTATAAAGCGGAAGAGTTTATATTTTGTTTGTTTGTTTGTTTGTTTGAACGCGCTTATCTCCGTAACTACAAGTCTGATTTGAATAATTCTTTTTGTGTTGCATAGCTCATTTATCGAGGATGGTTATAGGCTATAAAACATCACGCTACGACCAATAGGAGCTGAGCAGAGCGGGTGAAACCGCGCGGAAGTAACTAGTTTATGTATATTCTTCAAAATTAAACTTCAATTTCCACGGATTCAAATTCCGACATAGCAAGTTAAATAAAGCCTTCTGTAAAACTGATTGAACGTAACAGAAACTACTAATATAATCTCAACAAAATTAATTCATTACCCTGTCTCGTTGATAGAGAGCTGAATGAGTTCGGTGAATTTAATCCTCGGTTCAATGTGTTGATGGCTCTTCAATATCAAGATGACAATAAATAAATGGAAATTTCGACTGTCTGATTGTGAACAAGGTAAGCAAGACATGTCTAGTTATACTATTTGCTGCACTGATTGGATGGATACATTCAATTTTCGAAAGAGGGAATGCGAATGATGTTTAAGACCGTTGTTGTACGTTCAATGTTAGTTTACCGATATGCTTGAAATTCGGCATTATTCCATTGGTCAAAACCAGCACCGGTCCGTCCAATGTTATCCGACGATATTTGGACAGTAAACTAGTGCCGTGGATATTCGGGGCATATTAATTAACGGCTTTACGGGCCAACTTACTAGCGCTTCTGTGTCGTTGTGATGCGTATCCACTAATGAACAAGCTTTAAAATAAAGAAAATGTACGGCAATATCTGAAACATTTTGTCGTACCGGGTGTTAAGTAAATAGGGCACCATACTGTAAGGGGATAGCTGGGATCAATAGTACAAAACTGCCACATACATTTTATTTCACGGCTGTAAGTTAAAGTTGAGCGTCAAAAAAAGTTTGACAGAAGAAGCAGTTTTTCCTAAAAACTCCCTTATTCCTGATATAAAAAGACGTACCAAAGAATAGAATATTTAGCTACGAATATTTTGATGTGCAAAACATATTCTCGACTGCCTCGTTGGCCGATTGGTCGCAAGTGCGACTGCCGGGCAAGGGGTATCGGGTTCGATTCCCGGGTCGGGCAAAGTATTACTGGATTTTTAAAAATCTGAGTAGTAGCATGGAGTCTGGACATGTGTTCGGTATATGGCAATAGGCCCACCCCCTATTACATGGCACTAATAACATAAATAGTGAAAAAGTGGGTGTTACATTGTATAGCGGCATTAAGTGCCGTAATGTGCGCCTCTACCTACCCCTTCTGGGATAAAAGGCGTAACATGTTACATGTCAAAACATATTCAAACAATTTTTTTCAGTGAGATATGCTAAAAGATGTGTGTCAAGGTAGCGAATTTTTGTTATTTTCAAAAATATGACATAACTTTTAAACCGTACATTTTCACTGAACATACATTGGGTTGTTCAGGTAGGTATTGATCCTAACGATCACCCCTTAAAGTATGGTGCACTATTTACTGGATGCCCTGTATATGTCGCTTCGTAATATAAATTGGAGTTAAATTTTTTGCTCTGTGGTAAACCATGGCTGAGAAGAAATTGAATTCTCATTCGTTAAAGAATTTTATTCGTACGGCTTACTGAAGCATACGTACTTGAAGTACTTTGTACTTTACAACAAATGTTGGATGGAGTACGTACGGTACTTACTAATTTCCCTGCGAGTAGCAATTTTCAGTAAAGCCAGAAGATATTTTACATAATTTCTGACAAAATCTTAAGTATTCCATGTACTCGAAGAATCAATTACTTTAAATATAAACAAACAGTAAAATGTACATGAAACAAAAGTAATTCCTGAGATAACGCATTGCTACATTGCAATGAAAATATTCCTCTAGTGAGGTGAAACAAGTCTAGTGATGTGGTTTATTTCACTCACACGTCGACTTTGCGTTTGCACGTCACAGAGGTCGTAAAGGCAGTCTCGACTCGACCTAAAATGCCCGATAGAATTGTATTGCAATTGAAAATAGCCAATGCGAATTAGTCAAACTGTTTAAATTCTACAGTTGATAAGATAAAACGACATTGCCGTGACATAAAGATATTAAACTGCTTTTAAGTATAAAATCGACATGCTGGACATTATTGAACTTTATGAATGGATTTTTTATAGACTTGAACTTTAACCGTGAAAGGGGTATTAAAGCAATCGATGTATCAATTATACTAATGATCTGTTTACGCAGAAACGCTATAATATAAACGCGAAATTTTTTTTTACGAGAATTTCAACAATATTCAATATTGAGTAGTTAGATTCTTATAGGTAATGAGTTTCGTTTGCATATTCTTTTTCTTTTTTGAATGTACAAATATTTTCATTTCATTCATTCATTTTCTCTATTTGTAGGTATAATAAAGTTGAATTATCTATTAAACGACCGATTAGCGTAACTTCGCATCTATTTCTCTGGCACTTATTGCCATTATTGCATACATACAACTACTTCTATGTTTTATTCTTGAAGGTCATCACTTACACTAGACAGAGCACGCAAGTAAAACCGCAAGTCGTAACACATAGGATAAAAGGGTAGCTAACCCCTTCCTACAAGGTCTCAGACGCTACTTAAAATTAGTTTCAGACCGAATTGGTTGAGAACTAGTCCAAGGACCCTCAATTTAGATTAAGGTTTCGTAATACGGGACTAAAAGCTTGCATGAACAAATAGCAATCAGGTTATGGTGGAATATATGCTAATGCAATTTTGATGCTAGAGCGAACCGCGTCCGCGCTCCACGCTGATAAATACGGATATTTTGAGCTTCGTTAGCCGTACAACTGTGTCCAATTGTTGTATGGAAATTAGGTGAAGGTTTTATGTTTTTATCCTTCAACAAAAATGCATTGAAACGCGTCGCAATAGTACTTATGTATGAAGGTGGTAAGCTGAGGTGCTGAAATAAAAACTATTTTTCATCGGTTTTGCTAAGAGCCTCATTTTATCATTAGGTAATTCCCATACTCCATGCAAAGGGAGAAGTTTTTTCAAAAACTGAAAAATCCGTAATATTATATGTACTTTATCCGGCTGCTTGACCATGCCCCCATTACCACGCGATCACCTTAATTTCCTATAGAGAAAAGACACATTTTATGTCAAGAGCTAAAACTAAAAAACTTACCTTCTTCTCAAGTCCCAGCACAATAGCAAAGAACAATATGAAGATGATAGTCGTGGACTTCGTCATCGTGTAGAGGGAGATCGTAACTAACTCCAGGCCCCAGTTGGAGAATCCCACATCAATGCCGCTGGCCAAGCCAGTGGGGCCGACGGACTTAAGGCATGTCATACATGGCAGTATTAGTTGAGGAGTGCCTGTGATAAGCTGGAGCACCACCCTCACGCAGACTGATAAAACCCATTTCACGATGAGGTGGTACATTACCACCGTCAAGGGGAACTTGAAGTCCTGCAAGAAAAATGTTGAATTAGTTGTTAGGATACATGTATTACACAGTACTTATAAGTGGCGAAAACTGAATGTTACGTTTTTAAGAAGGATTAATGTGGACCTCTGTCTACGTTATCGGAGAACAAAGACGTGTGTGTGTGCATCACTACATGAAGGATAAAGCAATAGTATACACGATACCTTTGGTTTTGGCCAGACCTCCTAACTAGCTATTCTAATAAGGGTTTTACAAACTACGTGCTAATCGCAGCACTAATCTATGCTCTAAAGTGTATTTAAAACATCTTAAGCTTTATAAGATGTCGCGGAGAACCTAACAGGTAACCGGGGCTCCGGCTCGACGTGCAGGAGAAGGAACGGGGTGGTTTTTAGTCAGTAAGAGTCTGACACTGCCTCCCGCGTCGCTCCCAGGCGGGAGCAGTCATTCGATAATTTTCCCCCCTTAAAAAAAAAGCTTTGTAAGATAAACCAGTGAAACTGCCACTGTAAAGGCAAATAGTAATCTAGACTTGCACTTTAAATTATTTTAGCAAATTTTTCTTCCATTAAAACCTCAGGTTTTAAACTTTTAACTACTTAACGCTATGTCAGATTATTGCGACGTGCTAAGTAACCCTGGCCAGAATAATCTTTATCTTACTTCTTAAACCGCGTTCAATTAAATGTCAGCTATAGTAATGGAATGAGTTCGAGACCTGGCGCTGACTTTTTAATTATCCGCTTTTATGAGCTCTTTGTAAAACTGGCAATGTTCTTAGCTAACAATAATAATGTCAGTAAGACTGGTGCTAGAACAAATAAATCTTTAAGTTGTATAGATTAGTTTTCTTTTTTAGTAAAGGTATGTGTTGGAGCTAAAAATCGAGCTTAGCGGCGTGTTACTGGCAAATGCCTATTTCCGACATGCAGTGGATGGAAACGGGATGATAATAATGAGTGTGCTTGAGAATTACACAACCTTATTCCCCCTAGTCTATATCACCACCGTACCACCAAACGAACGACAGGGCGCCACCCTTATATGGTGAACATTCACCCCATTCGCACGAAGCGTTTCGCGTCAAGCTTCCTCATGCGAACCGCTAAGTAATGGAATTCCTTGCCGGAGTCTGTGTTTCCCGTCAAATATGACTTGGGTGTCTTCAAGTCCCGAGTGAACAGGTTGCTCATAGGTAGGTGTGGTCCATAATCGGCCACATCATCGCTTACCACCAGGCGAGATGGTGGCCAAACGTCGGCCTATTAAGTATAAAAATAGATTTCGAACCCAATTTCCCGGTACGTGTGATCTTATTAGTAAGAGAAACTAAGTTTTAATTCGTACTATTGTCCCTTTGTGAATTTCATTTCAAGGAGTATTGCGATTTTTTTTATTGGGTGACTTTTTTTAGACATAAGATGTTGTTCATAACTTAGTCGCGAACCCTCGATTCGATATAGTCAATCATCAACCGTCGATTCAAGGGAAGACAGGAATCTACATTACTACAAATTCTTAGGTTTTTCGAATATTTTCAAGTAGGTACTAGTTACAGTTCTATTAAAAACAATTTCGAAACGTTAAAAAGCAGTCAATCTTTTGCTTGTCATGATAGAACTTAATCAATTAACTGAACACTTCCAAAATATTTGTTTAATTCACTTTAAAAATATAAATTAATTAGTATCGAAGCAATTTCAAGACATTAATGTGCAAAAGTGCTGATGTAGCGTACTCACAAACACATACATTATTACATCATTTCATTTGTGTATTTAAAATAAACGCTGAAAAAATAGGAGTTCAATTATACTATACGAGAACAAATTAGACTACACTGTACCTATTCATTTTACATTATCACGATATTGATATCAAATCAATTTGCAATATCGTAGCATTGATTTCAATTTATATTTTAGTCAGCACTGCTATTTATTGGAAGTAAAACATAAAACATAACATTACGCCTTTTATCCCCGTAGGCAGATGTGCACATTATGCCACTGTACAACGTAACACCCACTTTTCACTATTTATGTTATGAGTCCCATGTAATAGGGGGTGAGCCTATTGCCATATACCGGGCACAATTCCAGACTCCGTGGTACTACTGAGAATTTTTTAAAACCCAATAATACTTTGCCCGACCTGGGAATACGACCCGAGACCCCTTGCCCGACAGTCGCACTTACCACCACTCGGCCAACGAGGCAGTCAAGAGTAGAACAGGTAAGAAAATATAGTTTGATTCAGTACAGAGACATGAACCATTGATTGCCTACTAAACCGATTGAGTATTATCTAATAATATGTAATAATAATTAATATCTATGTACTGAGTCAATCTTTATTCTTTTACCTGCACAGTAAATAACTGTCTGATTGTATGTACATAAAAAATGTTAAAGTATTTGATTTTGAAATAGTGTCTGTTTCATTATCATTATTTCATGTCGCATCGGAATGACTTTATTGTGTGATTTTTGTGTCAGGAGTAAGACACTCGGACAGTGATATAGACTACTTTCAACCGAAGTGTGGGAGAGCCGTGCTTCGGCACGGGTGGGCCGGCCCGACCGGAGTGATATCACGGGCTTACAGAAAACCGAGCCGAATCAACGCTTGCGTTGTGTTTCGTCGTGTGAGTATTTATTACAATTACCCCCATCTCCTCCCCAAACTTATCTCATAAAAAAAGAAAAATAAACCGCGTTAGTCTTACTGTTCCATTGATCACACATTTAATGATTTAATAATGTTATGTGAGAAAAATAATCACATGCACATGTATGGCCAAAGACTACTTTTCAGCAGTAATAATTATGAAGCCCTAAGAGCCTAATTGTACACAATAATAATTTTTAAACATGTTATTATGTAAGCAAAATGATCAAATTCAGACCACCACTATCATTAAATCAATCAACACAAAACCAGATGTTTTGTATGTCATGTAAAACCAATCAATTAATGTGCATTAAACAGACCGACATTAATTTGCGGCAATAGCTATTAGCTACTTAAAACCATAATGCGCCATGTTATTGGTTACATGATTGTTGTAGTATCTAGTGATAGTGGTTGTGGTATCTAATGGTTACTGTGCACCATATAGAGGTTTGATTCCCGGACCTACGCCTCGAACAGCCATCAGACCACTACAGATGGGCCCGCTCGAAGAGCAGGAGTAGGAACGGGGTGGTTTTTAGTCAGTAAGAATCTGACACTCCGTCTCGACTCACCCTGGCGGGAGAAGTCACAGGATGATTTTCCCCCCTCAAAAAAAAAAGGCCGCGACCGCACGCGCTGCTCATGAGAAAGAGTCTCTTTGTGACTCGTAACTAGTAGAGCTTTTCTTAGTATAAGTTATTCAGAATCTAGATTTTACTGATTAACAATATAGACTACAGTTATCGCAATGACAGGGGAGACTGAGCACTACACAATATTTAAATGTGCACTTATTTGAAATAATGTTTGTAAATGCACTCACGACACAGCATAAAATTTTTTTTTTTTATTTAAATCCCCGAGAAGAAAGCGATTTTGTAGTTCATTCATTTGAATTTTGGCGTAATGCACAATTTAGAAGAAAGAAGTGAAATGTCTAAGTTAGCGTTATTAAAGTACATTTAATAGTACATTTAATATTTAACTGAATTTTGGTGTAACGTGAATGTGTAAGCTTTTGCAGTAGACCAGAGCTTGGCGCCGGATGAACGGTGCACCGATGACCGAGCACACAACTCACACACTTACTGCACATGAAGGTAACCCAACTTGTTAGATTGTTTGTAGATAACAGATTTTGAACCTTATCGGAGTACAGTCCTTGATGTTACACATTAAAAAGGTGTAACGAGGAAGAATATACAGACATACAGAGTAGTCGGTCGGCCCCAAGCTGTCCTATGTTGACTGACAAGGCAACAGCAACTTATTGAAAGAGGTTACATTAATGTACTAAAGACTGTACTTGAATTGACGAGCAGAGGAAAAGGTTGGAGAATGAAAATGAAATCAAAGAGGTAAACCAGAAATGTTTGGAAATCCATTGTTCTAATATAATAGTTGAAAAGAGTGAAGATGAGACTAAATACTTTTCCAATAAGGTCGGAAATCTAATGTGACAGATCAGGCTAGTTTGAGTAGCTGGCATTTGTATAAGCGCTCAATTCCCGTGAACTGCACAATTGTACCAAATTCTAAGCAACCAATTGAATTAATACGACCTAAACGTATGCAGCTGCGGTTGAACTAAGACCTAGAATCTCCGATCTAAACCGTGAAATGTTGGGCGGGCGACGAGCTATATAGTTTTGTACATCAGTAGGTAACTGTTAATTAGTACTTTAGTTGGAATGAGACTCATGAGTTGTGCTGTTCCAATGTTTAGCTTTTAACTATTTTCCATTTAAGTTTTATAACTATGTAATTTATTTATGTAATCTGTATGAAACTATTTTCCATTTAAGTTTTATAACTATGTAATTTATTTATGTAATCTGTATGAAACGATTTATATTTTGTTCTGTATTACTGATTAATATTACGTTTTAAACCCTGACGTAATAAGAAGGATATAATAAAATTGAGATGGCTGTGTTTCTATTAAGTATCTCTGTAAAACATCGTAGCATCAACGTATGAACCAATTTTAATCTAGTCGCAGTATTTACGGGATAAAGGACAAACGACCAGACGGATCGTCTGGTGGTAAGCTATTAGTGCCGGCTACGGATACTCGCAACACCAGAGGATATACACATGCGTTACAGTACCTTTTATAGATGTGCACATGCAATATAAATAAAGCAGTTAGCATAAAGCAGCAGATAAAAAAGCGATAAACTGCTTTTGTTATAATATCCAAAACACCAATATTTTACTCACCCGACTAGCATATTAGTCAAGATCAAACGAATACCTAACTAATCTATAGAAAGTATAGTTTGCGATAGGGTATTGTAGTATCCAGCCTATAACTTCAACCACTCCATGCAATAGCGCGGGCGGTCTGAATCAATTACGTACTCTGCGACGGCAGCGCATTTTATTCAATGTGTAAGAGAATATTGCATTTTATTATTCGTCCCAGACAGCAACGAGTAGATTCTTGTATAAGAACTAATTAAAACGAAATATTACAAGTTATTTTCTGATCTTCTCCATTGCTGTAGTGCATCTTCTTGTGCAACTACAGAGAGAAAAAAAAGGTTGAAGAATTTTCATTGTGTTGTTGGTTTTGTCTTTTTACAAGACTTAGTGAGAACAATCTGTTATAACTATTTATAAGAGACAGGGATATTCTAAAATGAATGTTAAAACTCTGTAGTCAAATCAGTTTCTTCTCGAAAATCAAATGCCACAAACGACGTAGCAGAATTTGCGGAATTGTGAAAAATCCCACAGGAATACATTACCTTTCGTTTAGTATGGGAATATTCTATACATACATGTATAGATTCAAGTATCAGGCCCGGAATCGCAATGCAACTACATTTCATTTATAGACTGTTGTAGCTGGGGGGGACGTTAACAAATTGCATTACAGTGCGAACCAATGATCAAGTGTATCTACACCACTTGTGGTATTTTAAATAAGTGACGATTTCCGTTTGTCTTATTACTTATTCACAGGGGTAACAGAGTAATACTGTTTGTTAACTACACGCGTAGCTTTTTATAAGAATAGAAGCTATCGAATCATTCTTCACATAAGAAAATGTAAGCACACACGTCTGAACCTTAGTTAAAAAAAAATGTCATTCATTTTAAAATTAGGACGTATTCATTCGTATTTTGTATTATAATTATCATTCATTGCCTTTCAATAAAACAAAACAATACTCATTGAGGAAAAACATACTGAAAATATGGTATAGCGGCGCCTATTAAATAATAATTTCAAGATCATGTTCGGTGTTATCTATTTTTATACCAGTTGAACAAAAAGTGCTTTCTGTTGGAGAGTAAATCTCGTGGGAGGGGTGGGGGGAGTGTATCCATTTATTTTTTTTAAGAGGGGAAAATCATCGAATATCTGCTCCCACCTGGGTGAGGCGGAAGGGAGTGTCAGACTCTTACTGACTAAAAACCACCACGTTCCTTCTCCTGCACGTCGAGCCGGAGCCCCGATTACCCGTTAGGTTCTCAGCGACTCCGAGGAGTGTATCCATTACGAGTTCCTCACGTTCTTCAGCTATGTCCTACCAACTTTTTTGTGCATAACTAGTTACTATTTGACTGCCTTATTGTTAGTGACTGAGTAATCTGCTTCTATGCAATAACTATGTGGACATAGTTTTTTTTATAGCATAAGCCGGTAAACGAGCAGCCGGATCACCTGATGGTAAGCAATCGGCGCCGCCCATGGACACTCGAAACACCAAGGCGTTAAAAGTGTGTTACTGGCCTTTTGGGAATTGGGAATTTGAGAATTGTGGAGGATTCGGGGATGCGGGAGACGGGGACTAGGGAGGGGCCTCCGGTAAACTCACTCACACGACGAAACACGACGCATTGTTTCAAGTCGGTTTTCTGTGAGGCCGTGGTATCACTCCGGTCGAGCCCATTCGTGCCGGTGCATAGCTCTCCCACACTTATACACAACACGTTTCCAAGCATATTATTAATGTTTCCAAATGGGATAACTTATGTGATTTTTAAATTCAATTAAAAATGAAGTTTGCGATAGGCTCTAGTGGGTACTAAGATCTGTTGCCCAATAGAGAATTTGTTTTTGTTAGAGTATATTTTTAATTTTTTTTTTTTAATTTGTCGTGTTGAATAGTTTAGAAATGGCTGCCCGACGGTATTTAACGTGACTCAGAGAGTAAGATCAACCGGCGTGCGACTTCTATTCGGGTTATCAGACTCCGCAGATGTAAAGGTTTGTCGGGCCCAAACGACGCAAGAGGTAATGAAATGAGCTCCAATATTTTAGCAACATTTAAGTGCCAATTCAGGCGATAGTGTGGTGTGGCAGAGTATACCGTAGTCTCTTCGGAAGGAGGGGAGGGTGGCTTATAAGTGGTGTTCTATGATTTCTACCTAGGGAACTCTGGCAAATTAGAAAATAGAATAGAGGATGTAAATAGGTACTGTTCATATAAGTAGTTAATTTTGCATTATTCAATACATTTTCGACTATATAACAAAACAATAAAGTTGTAATTTTTGTACCAGAACAACATCCTGCCACAACTTGAATAACAAAGGCAGAAAAAGGTCTTGTTATACATTCAAGGAATATTATCTTATATACCTTGTATTCAAACATTCTTTGTTAATTTACATAACAATCAAGCATTTCAAGTTTAACACTTTAGAAAATGGCATTATTAAATTGTCGTTGACACTGGTAATATTGGTAGATATGTACTTTTTTCATTGGTTTATTAAAAGCGCAACTACGTTAGCAGTGCTACGTCAGTGTAGACAAGGTATTATAGGGATTTTGAAAGCACTGATTTAGGAATCAGTGGACGGCATTATGGCAATAGATATAATAGACCCGCCTTTCGTTAAATGGTATTAAAAGATATAAAAACTGAGTGTAGTTTAAGTGCATGTGCATTATGTATGTGCAACCTCCGATTAAGCCCTGTCTGTCAGGTAACATAAGGCGCAATTTAGCGAGACTGAAGAGTGATATAGGTAGGCTAATTCCTTTTAACCATGCCAACGAAGTCGCAGACGAAAAGCTATTTTATTGAAGTTAAAACAAGCTTCGTCTTTTGTTCGGGATTAACTTGAAAACTACTGAATGGATTGTAATAGGGTTTGGAAAAGTAAATAGTGATTAATGAGATAAGAAAAGATGACAGACGCACACAATGTTTTGTTACCAGAGACAGATAGCACGCGAAATTGACAAGCTGTAGATTGGACCTAAGGCTTTTTTTTAAGTGGGGAAAATTATCGAATGACTGCTCCCGCCTGGGTGAGGCGAGAGGGAGTGTCAGACTCTTGACTGACTAAAAACCGCCTCGTTCCTTTTCCTGCACGTCGAGCCGGAGCCCCGGTAACCCGTTAGTGGACCTAAGGCTAGTACCGTCTTAACCATAGATAAAGGTACTCGGGACCCGTGCCCAGGGCCCCTTGAAGGACTGGTAATTTCTACAACAGACACACATAAAGATTTGCACCTTTGCTACACATAGCGCGGCAACCGGCTGCCCCACAGTGTGTAGCGGGTTCGATTTCCGTACGGAGCAAATCTTTGTGTGATCCACAAATTGTTCTTTCTGTTTTTTTTTTTGTAAATGCACCCATGACACAGGAGAAAATCCTATTGCGGCGCAACGTTAAAAATGAAACATTACGCAAGGACCCCGAATTATTGTGTGCCCAAGGGCCACAGGGTAGTGTAAGACGGCCCTGCCCTAAGACATGTCTTAGGAAATGATATTGTGCAACTATAAACCACAGATAGAATATTACGATCAATTACGATCGGATTCAAACTAGATAATATCTATTAAGTGAGTTTGCTAACCACTAGTTAAATTGTCTTTTTTATGTTCTTTCTTTGTGACTGTTGTTATTTAAATATAATTAATAGTAGACTAATTGACCCTGGAATCGAAAGAAACGGCCGACGGTCGCGTGATCGTGTAAACAGTTGTCGTGATACTAAACAACCAAAAAATACAATTTTGACATAGATTCTACTGATTTTAACTCTGATAAATGTAAGATTTAAAATAACCTATATTTCTTATAGCCTAGAATTAATTAACTATCTTAATGTTACTAAAATGGCAACATTGTATTTTTTATTATTGAATTTTGCAATGCACAGATAAAAAAATCATTATCATACAGCACTGCACAGTGTTATGTAAATTAATGTTATCTGTTATGCTGAGCTTATTGACACAGATAATTTATACCTATGTAGTTATTTTAATTGGGTATATTGTCCATATGGAATATGAATGCTTTATTTTAGTCTCACATTTGTGATTGACTTTCTAATAAAAATGAAGAGCATTGGTAGAAATTAACTTATAAACTTGTTTAATTATTTATGTGATTAGGTTTAATTGATTGTTATAATTTTATGTGTCCAATAGTAGTGTAGGTATAGAATGGAGCCCAAGTATTAAGTGTATAGAATTGAGCACTGTGTTTGTCTTTTAACTATTGACAGTGTGAAAATAAATTTATATTACACCGCTGCCAAATATTCTAAAACAATAGTGTCATGTTATATCCTATCTATAAATAAAGTCTATTGTTTAGAAATATTATGTCTTAATTATTAGAAATTGTATGATGACAAAATGTCCAACAGTTGATAAAAAATCTTGTTAGATTCAGATGTTTTTGTAAATAAATACCTGTATAAAATAACAGTAATTTAGAATTACCTTAGATAAGGCCAAGAACGAAAGCCAAACTAGTTCAAAGACTATTTGCATATAATAATAATGAAACAATTGCAAATAATATAAGGAAAATCAAAATGGGACACTGCAAAGCAAAAAGTAAACAAGACATCAAACTTTGATACATTTACACAACAGCTTTAAACAATACGAAAAAACCGAAATGCTGCAGTTCTAGCTACACTAAAGTACGCACAGCAACCAAAAATATATTTCTAACTTAGCCAGCGACTTTATAAACTAGTACAAAATAAGAAAATCAAGAAAGACGTAAAGCAAACAATTACTGATAACAGGAGCCTTACCGTCAAGAGCCATCGCTGATAGAAGGTGAGCCCAATGGACAGCGAGAAGTACAACAGGATCAGCCCCAAGGACAGTAAACTTTTTTGGAAACAAATTTCGGACCATTTTGCTTTTGGTTTACTTGTAAAAACATCTTCTTCTCCTTCAGACTTCATGGGCAGCTGTTCATACTTTCCGCCTGGCATGGTTCGCACACGACGACAAAACTTCTCTTAGATAACCAGTTATTTGCATATCAGATAGAATATTCAGTTCAAAGAAATTTTAAACAACTTCAAAATACGACACATAAAGTTTCCCGATTCCCGTTTCAGGATGCGAAGCACTCCGTCTAACGTTGCACCACAGACTAACTATATTATTACGTTTTGTGATTTACGTAGGATCTTCGATGTTGCCTTTCTTAAAAAATCAAATGTCAGTGTCACGAGAAATTATTTTTTTTGTCTTACAATTATAATACATTCTAGTATCCGAATTAAAAATATGCTAAAACTCTTGCTTTTATACATATGTACGATCGAATAAGGTACTTGAAAAATTATTTTAACAACAAGCTTTACAACCATAAACGTAGACACAGAACAAATGTAAAAAAACATGATACGTCATTTCCCAGCTGTCACATTGTCTATGGTTAATTTATTGATTTTCTCCTCAAATTGTCTGCCATTTCGTAAACAAAAAGAAAGATAACAAACATCACGTAATTATTAATATCAAATTTAAATGACGCAGTATTGTAATAAATCCTGTGAATTGATGGTGGAATATTGAAGGTGTATAGTGCTTCGAATTGAGGGATAACATGACCAAATTTTTTGTTTGACTTTGAACAAAGGAAGGTGATTGTGATTCAAGATGACTGACTCAAGTTCTTTTACTTCCCTTTTCGCTTTAGTGGACAGTCACTTATCAAAATGTAATTTAAACGACACGCCTAGTGAGGATGGTCGTGTCGGGAATTTACCAATGCCCATGCTAAACTTTCCTAGAGGGCTGTCCGACACTAGGCTCACTAACCCGCCTCCAAGATTACCTATCCCGACATTCAGTATGAGCGAAAGCCCCATCGCCAATGTCCTCTCCGAGCAGCTGTCAAATATGTTCAAAGCCAAAGAACTTAAAAAGCAGCAAGAGCTGGAACAAGAGAAACTGCAAGAGGAGATGAAACGAATGGCTCTTGAAGAGAAGAACTGTGTGATAGACTTGATGAAAGCTGTACAGAAACCACAGGATCCTGAGCCGAAACCTAAAGAAGATCCCAGCAGTCTCAACAGCTCCTTTGAGTCCCTGGTTCTCGATTACAAAGAGTTTGTTGCTAATTCTAGGCGAACATCTGAAGCTGGTTTACCAACCCCGGAGCCTGAGCCTCTGTTGCCAATAAAGACAGACATGTCTTACATACTCAAGCAAAAGATCAAGAGAGGAAAGTGCTCTGCATTTGGTAAAGTGCTGACTTCACGTTTACGTCCTGTCGCTGCACCGTACCTGAGGGAGAAGGTTCCCACTAACATTGTAAGTTTTGATTTTAGTACCAAGTCTCCGTGCGATCTGATTAAGGAGAAACTGAAGAGGAAGCCAGTTCATACAACTACTAATAGTTATGACTTTTTCTGATTAATGGGTGTTGCTATTGATGACGATGAGTCCAATCAATAGCAACATTAAAACAATGTTTATCCATGTTGGATTCACTCGCATCAGTAGCGCATCGCATTATATTAGACTAGTGTATTACGCATTTAAAAAATATTGTATTAGCCTCTTGACCTTTTGTCCTTGGAATTATAATAGTCTAGAACTCATTTTTGAATTAACTTTTTGAATTCACTTCAAGTATTATTGTATATTGAAACCCAATGGTTAATGTTTGTGTAGGGTTACCAATGATGATTATAGATGATCAACTATTTTCTGTGTGTGTCCTTTACTTAGAGCCCTCGCCCACGTGCGACTTTTTGTAGCGATGCAGTCGCGCATAGCACATCGATACCAACGCCAAACGGTCGCTAACTGTGTGCCCTCGCCCACGAGATTCAGTCGCGATTCGGTCGCGATGTAGTTACGATACTAAAATACGTTGAATTAGTACAGTTATAACATTAGTCACTCTTTCGTCTTTGGTGCTGCTTTTACGTAAGCGTAAGCAACAGAAGCAGCGTCAATATTGGATGTCGTCTGAAGCGGTCGCGCGTTTGTATCGATACAATCGTGCCTTACTAGAAATATTTTGTCCGTTTTCACCATCGTCCCCTATACTACCAAGTACTACATAAGCATCAAAGCATCGCGATTGTATCGATACAATCGCAATGCAGTAGCACGTTAGTAGCGCGTATGCATCGCTATTGCAGCGCTTTGTAAATGCTACTAACACGCCTTAAAAGCGATGCAGTCGCGCGTTTATCAAATGCGCGACAGCATCGCTACAAAAAGCCGCCTGTGGGCGAGGGCCTTTAGAGTATGCTCAATTCATACAACTTAAAATTTAACTGATATAGTGACAAGTTGCCTATTTGTGTCTGTAGATAGTAAAAAAAACATCATGTACTTTATAACTTGGTATCAGAATGCTTTTATTCTAATCTATTTTATAGTGATAATGTACGTAGAAACAAACACAGCTAAGATGTCAAATCTTTTTAAACTGTCAAACATCGAGCGGTCACCGGTGACCACAACCTATTGTTCTTTAATTGTGTCTATAATGACGGTACTCAAAGAGTTAAATATAGGTAGCTATCATAAAATAAAATAAACTTAGAACAAATGTGACTGATGTAATTTGATTGCTTGTAGTTAATTGTGTAGTATATTAGTATAAACTTGTGCTACTTTCCAAATGACTTTAATATTGTAGTGAGGCATTAATAAAATTAAATGTGTAGAAGGTATCTTGATAATATAGTAACTAAGTAGGAATGTGATTTTGAACTAATTCAATGTTTTATGGGTTTAACATATAAAAGGTATTATGTACTGTGGTTATTGTTATAGTTAATAGAATAAAATTCAAGTTGTAATGTATAATTCAGTTGAGTGTACCATTTATCATAGTTATCCTAGGTAGATACAATCTCAATGCTGGTATTGTCTTGATGTTAGGATATTTGTTTACTGCTAATGTCATTGTCTTGATGGTAAGAGGATTTACCAATCGACAAAATTCACTGCTCTTTTTTATATTTCATCAATAGACTTTATTCTTATTTTGGTCCTCAGTTTAAGCAATATGAACAAAGTATTACTGTGTTTTCCACTGTGAAATTAATCAAGCTTGTAACTCGGAATGGTACCAGGTGTTTTCTGATAGACTTATCTGTTTGTGACGGTGCTTCGTATTTTTTGTTCAGATCAATTGATTTTTATTAATTCCATATCGGAGCACCACTACCCACCTGTATAATTAATAATCACCTAGTTTTGTAGTTCTGTTAATCTAATAATAATAATTTTATAATTATTTCTATAATTATTATTAATCTAATAATTATATTGTTATGAATTTTACTAATGACATGTTTAGAACTTGTGAAATAGCTGGTGTATGTGTGTAAACACTCCTCTAAGTATCCGAGTAAGATGTACATAGGCGTTGCTGGTACCCGCATTATCATAACACAATTATTTCAATGTTCTGTCTCTTGACCGCTGTCCGCTACGATGTCGCAATGCAAAGCAACATCGCTTTGTCTGACGTCACAAGTTCGTCGTAGATTTGTAGTGGTATTCTAAAATATCTAATATCCCAGCCTCGTCTCGAAACCAACAGCAACGCTTATGTGGCATATCAAATAAAAGACAGTCATATGTATGTCAATATCATATTCATGTTATTTTAAATCACTAACTTCATCCCGACTTGTAAATAAAACATTGATTAAATTATCTTGATTTTTATTTCATAATATTTCAAGAAACACTTACTATCTACTAAAATCGCTCAAAATACAGATATGGCAAGAAATCCAACACTACTGTTACAAATTGTGATTTGATTACAAAACACTATACTAATTAATAACCCACAGAAACAAGATACATGTACACCTTGGTATGATAAATATTGAAGAAAAATTCAAACAGTGCTCCCCCTTAAACTATATCTGTAAGCCCAAGTATGGTTAGTAATATCTTACAGGCAAACAAGTTATAAAAATTGCAGAACAATATGCCTTTGAAATTGATATAACCATGATTACAGATGAATTTGTTAGTGCATACACAAGTACAATTTGGACATTGATTTGACAACACACCGATTATACTTCAGGTAACTATTTGGATCTAAATATACCAATTATTTGTAGTAGAACATACAGATTTTCAATGCAATTTCTTTGACTTGAAAAGTTTAGTACGACTTGACATAAAGTTACTTATAACTCGTACATTATTACAGTACATACATTCAGTGAATGTATGTATCGGATTCATTGTGCAAAATTGAGAAATCTGTAAGTGCCACTGAAACTGTACACAATCGTGATTTAATTATATCTATATATGTGACTACTAATTAACTAGTCTATTGCAGCACGTGGCTCCTTGTATAAGCTATAGCGAGGTACTATTTCCCTTTTATGAACAACCGAAACGTGATCTGTGCGTAACAGACTGTTTGAATTTTGGATAAAAACTGAAAGTTTTAACAAAATATTCACTTATCTGTTAAGACCTAAGCTACTTAACCTGTTCCTATAGTAAAATAACTTATGTTAGACATAATCTATGGCGGTCTATAGCCACTCCATAGTCCATGTTTATCCAACACAACATGATCTACTTCTCCCGCTAATAACAGAAATACCATTTAATATTTTTTCTATCCTGTGTGTAGAGTGAAATTATAAACAAAATACATCGCACATTTTAATTATAGTTTGATCGGCCGGCAGTTGTTGAAGCAAAAGGGTTGTCTAATAGTTGCAAGTTGAAATAATAAAAATAAATATTGCATCCATTCCCCAAAAAAGGCTCCTAATGTCCGTTTTCACCAATGTTCTCTATTTTAGTTTATGGGATCCCCTAATCATTGTTAAGGGACCGTCAGAAATTGTTTCACCAACAGGGTCACCTACACCTTAATTTAGGCAGTCAAATTTAGGTCTTAAACACGGACACGTGTAAGAGATCTTTCAAACAACGAAGATGGATAGTATTATAGAAGACATTTTTGATAATTTAGAAACGTAACTTCATGTCAAGAAACATTGAGTAGTTGTAAATATTAAAAGAAATAAACAACACGACTTATGTAGGTAATTATTATAATAACAACTAGAAGAATAATTAATTTTTATTCTATGCGGTATGCAGCCCCTGCCACACACACATCTTGTTATTCATTGATGCGTCCTGGCGAATTGTATTTGGTGCACAAGTTTGTCCAGCTTCATTCTTGACATGAAATTTCATTTAGGGGTTAGTATATGGAAGTTTTGTGAAGACCCCACCCTTATGTAGTACTTAGTAGTATAGGGGACGATGGTGAAAACAGACAGTCTTTTTAGTAAGGCAGCATTCTAAATTTTTATAAAACGTTAAATTTTCTCATAGAAGCACTAAAATTGGTTTTCATATCTACCTATAGCATTGGCAAACATTATTTACATTTCGAGCCAACTTTCCAAAAATACACAGTTACAAATATCTTATAGATATGAAACAAACAATCAAAATGACACTTCTACAAGTATGTACAAATGTTTGGAAGAAATCAAAGAGCAACAGTAACAAATAGTAGGTACATACAAGTAAATATAACAAATTATTGTAACGTCTTCATTATGTAATAGTATTATCAAAAGGAATTTCCAAACATGGTTTATACAAAATAGTATTTTCAAGCGTTACGCTTCTAAAATTATAATCTCGTAATACGAATTTACATTTTTGTTACACATATCACAACTCGAGATATCAAAATGGCCGTAAGTTGAGTTTTTGAACACATTACACTAACAATATTAAAGCCAAACTTGTCCCACGTAGTTGCCAATGCTTCTATCATGGTAGAGACGTTGCTAGACCGCGGACGTCGATATTGTATCGAGATTCCGCTCGTTCAGTCTTCTAGTCCGAAATTACTAATACTGTGCACTGCCCATTTCAAAGTAACTACTTGGATGAATCTCGCAAAGTAAAATTAATACTATCTCTGTCCTCTATCCGTTTCGAGGTAGAAGTGTATGTTTGCTTCTCAATGAGCCAATTACTTATTGTTCGATTCTACCTAAACCTTATTTTTCTAGTGTTTTACAATAAATTACATGATAATTAGCCATTTGGGACGTGCGTGATGATTATCCTAAACTTAGTTACGAGACTTGTGAAATGTCGGCGTAGATATATTTAATTCTAGTTTGGCGAAGCCTAAGACCAGCAGTGGCCTGCTGCAGGCTGACGGTAATTTTTATAGCGCTCTTGACTAACGCCTGGATACGTACTAGTAAAAGCGTGTCACAAACAAGAAATGATTAACCACTAATTACTCCTGCTATTACAAAAACCATTCGCCAGAACGGTTCGGAATCATGTAGATACAGAGCAGCTATTTGTGAAAAATATCTTCGCTGTATCGCGTTTTATATTATCTTGAGCTAATCCTACACTATAATAAATAAGAAATATGTATTAAAGACTTCTTCATATTACTATTTGTTGTAGTTAGACAGGTGCGGCCAGTTGACGGTACATAAACGTGTTTGAAGTAAATTGTGATGCAATGTTTACCAATCACCCTATCAAATGTTCTAATACTAATTAGCGAGCTGAGCAAAAATGTGCTCTATGTCATAGATATTACAATAGTAAATTGCTTATAGGTAAATTAGTGCATATTTGGCAATTACAGATTATTAAATTTCTTTCTAACATTATTTGTAATGACATGTCTTAATATTAATAATATTATCTTATATCTACTTTATATATACGTATCGTGTGTTTTATAATTATTACGTAGTGATGTGATGAGTAAAATGGGAGCTAACGTTTTTTTGCCCACCACGTGGTGCAAATGCAGGAAGCGGTATTTTTGTCCAATATTGAGCGCCCAATGTTGTGACATGAGCTTCATCCTTACTGGATGAACGAGAGTTTCACACTAGCCCCAACTGGTGAGCATAAATACGGTAGGCTCCATCGACTTATGCGCACAATATTTAACTAATTACTTAAATAGTTGCGTTGTTAAGACTTTCGTTTGAAATCGATTTATGAAATATTAAACAAGTTTTGTAATAATTGTGACGTCATTAATTACGTGTTTAACTAATTTATTGCACATTAGTTATCTACGAAACTGGACCTTACTGTTATTACAAGAGTTCTAATATCGCTTGAATTAATTGATAAATAATTTCTTTACAATTGAAAATATATCGTTCTAATGACTGCATACTAAATGTTTATACATTGTTTATCAAATTAGTTTTAAAGATTTCTAAATTGGACTGCACGGTTGGTGCGGTGGCTGGGCAACCGGCTGCCGTGCAATGTGTCGCGGGTTCGATTCCCGCACGGAACAACACTTTGTTGTGATCCACAAATTGTTGTTTCGGGTCTGGGTGTCATTGTGTATGTGAACTTGTATGTCTGTAAACGCTCCCACGACACAGGAGAAAATCCTAATGTGGGACAACGTTTTATTTAAAAAAAAAAGAATCGTATTTGTCTTTGATTAATATGAGAAGCAACAGGATGTTTTATTTTTTCGAAACATTCGTTTTTAAATTAAACAAGTGATTGTTTTGTTTTAGAGTTTGTGCGCAATAGTCTTGTATAGTGCCGCAACTAGTAGCACATGTGGTTGGAACCAGCTAGTCTATTCTAGAAGATATCAATACGAACGAAGTGAGCTCGATTGCCTTCTCGCGCGTCATTAGTCAGGATTATTCTCACAAACTATGACATGGCGTACCGTCATCGAATGGGGATGATGACAGGGTATGAAAATTAAAAATCTAATTAGTCCGTAAGTTAGGTAATTAAAAAATATAGGACACGTATTTTTTTATTTTGTCGTATAATAAAACAATACTTAGATAAAACGAATCAAAGTTTAGGAGTGGGGGCTAAAACGTCATTTCTCAGTATAAAATGTACTGAGAAGTGACGTCACGCGACATTTCAAATCAATATATCTTCGAAACTATTCGTTTCCGTAAGAAAATAAAAAATACGTGTCTAATGTTTTTAAATAATCTACCAGACGGACATTAAAATAAAAATTAGTCGTCTACCCTATTCACTTCAATCTGTCCAATTGAAAGTTACAGAAGAACTTAGCTGAACAAGTTAGGAGCAGTTTTTTTACTTAAATTTTCCTAACGGCTAGCAAACCCGGCGAACTCCGTTTCGCCACCAGATGGCATCGTTTTATGTAATATTTAGTTTGGTGATTAGAAGATGAAGAATTTTTTTTCCTGAATTTTCTTTGCTATAAACCTCACGGAGCCCGAGACTTTTCCAACGAATGCAAAACCGTGGAAATCGGTTCGTGCGTTCTGGAGTTACACCCGACTTATAGTAGATAACCATTTACTTTAAAAAATGTTGTTTAATTAATTTCCTGATAGTAATTGACGTATCAATTTGCGTTTCATAGTCTCTGCCTACCCCTTTGGGAGACAGGTTATGTATGTTTGTATGTAATTGAGTACTTATATAAAGATAAAACATAACTAGGTAACATTATTCAATTATTTTCTTAATATCTGACTTGCGAACTAGTTATGGCATCCTTTCGACCGAATATTGAAAGGCTACTCTATTATAAATTTGCAAAGAAAGGTTAATTGTAGAACAGCAAAACTGTGAAATGATCTGTCGTCGGCGGTATTTCCGAACCGATACGACCTTCAAACCTTCAAGAAAAGAGCGTACTCCTTTTTAAAAGGCCGGCGAGGCACCTGTAACTCCTCTGGTGTTCCAGGTGTCCATGGGCGACGCTGATCGCTTACCATCAGGTGATCCGTCTACTCCTTTGCCTACTATTCCATAAAAATAAAAAAAATGTAGTGACAGAACTACACTCAAGCACGACTTAAAATTGAGTAGCGTTCGGGTATTTGAACATTAAATTGATGGAGTCGTCTTAAAGGCTTGGTATGAGTTCATTTTATGTTTAACTAGCTGTCCCAGCAAACTGACTGACTGACTGATTTCTCATCGACCTTCCCTGGACTTCCACGAATATTTCAATACCAAAATTAGCCAAATCGGTTCAACCGTTCTGGAGTTTTAGCGAGACTAACGAACGGTTCTTCATTTTTATTTATATAGATGAGATCGCTGTATGCGCTCTGATTGGCCAGCTCCAATGAATCAACCAATCAGAGCGTCTGACGCGGTCCCGTTTCGAGTTTAACGCTGACTTGTAATAAATTTGTATGTTATGACATCAATACATGTGGTTCCTGACCCATGGCTCTAGTCACGGCATTAGTAATATCATGGTGTTTTAATCTACGGTTGGTAGTGCCTTCCCAGAGACTGCTGGCTCTCGTGAAGTTTCCTCGTAGCTTGGTAGACGTCTCTCTCCTTGTCCGGATACTTTGTGGGCAGGTTCGGAGAATGCAGGTTCACTTTAGCCGCATATCTGTGGACAAGAATATCTTTATATATCTAATTCTTCTCAGTGTGTATGTCACTGAACTTCTCTCAAACGACTGGACCGATTTTGATGAAATTTTTTGTGTGTGTTCAAGGGGAACTGGGAATGGTTTAGATTCACAAATCAGCCTGGCAGATGGCGCTGCAGTCGATGTTTAGGTTATTTATCCTAAACAGCTGAATTAATTTGAATAAATTTTTGTTTATACATTCATGTGGATATACAGGACAACGTCTGTTGGGTCCGCTAGTAAAATTATATAATAGTATTTTTTTTACTACCTTGGATCCAAGATATTTATACAAGATCCAAGACACACACTCACTTATGTATAGTAGTTATATATAGATAGTATTATATTCTATGTATTGTTTTAATTATTGTACACTAGATGACCCCCTTTTTCCAACTCCTGAATACTGGCTCCATCCAAAGGTTGTCTGGAAGAAATCGCATTCTGCGATAAGACCGCCCATTGTGCACATTCTTTTATGTTTGTTTTTTTATGTATGTTTTTATGGTGTACAATAAAGTGTAAATAAATAAAAAAAAATATTTATTCATGTCTCTGGGATGCGCCGAATTTTAGTATTTGTATTTATTTATTTATTTAATACTTGGAAAGCCAACAGTTTTGGTGTTTCCATGGTTGTGTCTATGGTAGTTGATGGTTTATTGGAGTTGCAGTGGTTCTGGAATGCTGCGGCGGGAATGATCCATAACCAATTAAGTATTACCTATTCTTGCACAGTTTCTCGTTGCTTGGCTTCTAGAGTACAGTTGCTAACAAGTCCACATATGGATTAGTTGAACTAGTAGTTTCGGATATGATCGCGTTCAACCAGGGTGCTTACTCTTGAAACCAATCTCAATGTCAATGCAATTTCAATCCAATAACATCTCAATGATTATCCAATGTCAAAACTATACAACCCCTATCGTAGCAGTTAAAGTAGCATTTAGAGTACGGAATATAAAACAAAACTCAATACCATTTAGTTCATGAAATATCCACGCAATACGGATGCAAAAGGCGCTAGTGATACAAGTCAAGAGTACGAAATTTCACAATGTCAATGTCGATCGATCGGAATTGGATTCAAGAGTAAGCACCCCGGTAAACAAATAAACGAAGATCATATTTTTTTTAATATGTTTTTTTTTCATGGTTCTCACACTAAGGTTTTTCTCTTAGTTATTTATTTATTGCAGACTGCCTCGTTGGCCGAGTGGTCGCAAGTGCGACTGCAGGGCAAGGGGTCTCGGATTCGATTCCCGTGTCCGGCAAAGTATTACTGGATTTTAAAAAATCTCAGTAGTAGCACGGAGTCTGGAACTGTGCCCGGTATATGGCAATAGGCTCACCCCCTATTACATGGGACTCGTAATATAAATATTGAAAAGTTGGTGTTACATTGTACAGTGGCATAATGTGCACCTCTGCCTACCCCTTCGGGGATAAAAGGCGTGATGTTATGTTATGTTATTTATTTATTTCAACTCTTATAGTTAACATTACAGGCAAACTATATAACCTAATGCGTTAGTGTTATCGTGAGTGTATTTACAAACATATTATAATAATAAATTCACATACACATCACACCCAGACCCGAAACAACAATTTGTGGATCTCGTAAAGAGTTTTTCTGTGTGGGAATCGAACTTGTGACATGTTGTGTAGCAGCCAGTTGCTCTAGCCACTGTGTAAACCGAGTCAGTCAATATATTGTTGTATAGTAGATTATATTAAATTATAAATTATTAGTAAACTAGTTATTTGAACGTGATGTGTGGTGATGGTGTAGTGGAAAACATTTATTACTAACCCTACTCGTCACGTGGGTACACTCACGTGACGAGTAAGAGTTAAAAAGAGACTGAACATAATTATTTTTTAATTGTTTCTATTGGTTGAATTATATTTTTTTACTCAAAGCATAAGTTTATATTCTATTGTTTAAAACAGAAATAGAAGTTAAGACTTAGTGTTCAGCAGCAGCAACTGTTACATATAATCATAATATTGTTAGAGTATAAAAGGTTATTTATATTTGAATATATTTTAATTACAATAAGTAATTTATTGGTGTAATTAATGGAATGGGTGGTCAGGCGACTATGAAGAACGCGTAGAATGCTTTGTTTGTGTGCCATTTGCCAAACAAATGCTTTTTCTTTCTTTCTTTCTTTGGCAGCCAAAATTTTGATTGATGTGGTAAACTATGTAGTTGAGACAGGAACGTATTATATTGAAATTATCTTTGTTTATAGTTTCTTGGTTGGTAATAGAAACTGATTACCGAGCCGAGGATCGAGCAGAGCTCTTCGCTGACTCCCTGGAGAGCCAGTTCCAGCCCAACCCAGCCCGCAACGTGCAACACACAGCAGCCATCGAGCTTCAGGTAGCACAGTACCTGGAGCAACCGATCTCCCCCGAAGAGGACCCAGTCGTGCTCTCCCCTGGCATGGTGCGGCGTATGGCTCTGCGAGCCCCACTACGCAAGGCACCCGGCCCGGACGGAGTACCCAATGAAGCCCTCCGCCGCCTGCCGCCACGAGGAATCGCGACGTTGATGCGACTTTATAACGGCATTTTCTATACCGGACACTTTCCTTCCAAGTGAAAGCTCGACAAAGTAATCATGCTGTCCAAACAGAGGAAGAATACGTTACTGGGGAGCTATTGCCAAATTACGCTCCTGTAGCTATTTTAGGGATTGTAGTTAGGAGGATCCTTAATGAGACATGTATCCCTATACTATAATCAAATGCGCTTGTCTACTTATAGAGTAAAAAACTAAATTACATGGAATGGACGTATATTTTGACACTTATTAATGTCATCCTCATATACTTAATTTTGTATTCTCTTAATAGACAAGTGCTAAAGTGGGGCTAGGTTAAAAGCACTGGACACTGACATCAGATACTGACAATGACATCAGACACTGACAATGACACCAAACATTGACAATGACAATGGAGTTTCTTACTCGTTCTTCTACATTCGAATCTACTTTTTGGAATGAGCACCTAGCTTCACCTAGTTTCACTGACGGACTGACTGACAGATTATTATTTATTTTGTATTTGTTGACGTTTCAAAAGCACCAAACTATGGTTTAATTGAAATAAATGCTTTGACTTTGACTTTGAAAATGAACACGGGTCACTGTGTCCCAAGTTCACACCTCCAGCCACGCGACGAACAGTTCGGCTTCAGGGCGGAACACTCCACCACCCTGCAAGTCGCGAGGGTACTGCACGACCTGGCGGCCGCGCGCAACAAGCGCGAGCGCGCCGCGGCAGTATTCCTCGACATGGAGAAGGCGTTCGACCGCGTCTGGCATGCCGGCCTGCTCAGCAAGCTGGCCACATCTACTACTCCTCGACGACTAGTTAAGATCGTGGCCACCTTCCTGCACGACAGAACCTTCCAAGTGGCAGTGGAAGGCACTCTAACAATTCATAGGAAAGCTAGACCTAACTTCCTTAATATCACTCTATCTTTAAAAAAAGTCGCGGAGAACCTAACGGGTAACCGGGGCTCCGGCTCGACGTGCAGGAGAAGGAACGGGGTGGTTTTTAGTCAGTAAGAGTCTGACACTCCCTCTCGCCTCACCCAGGTGGGAGCAGTCATTCGATGATTTTCGCACCATAAAAAAAAGACCTAACTTCAAAAACAACTATACTATTATTTTAATTTCTAAACCATATATCACCTTTTTAAATAAGTAAAAAATATAAATTACATAAGTAAACACGTATAATAAATACAAAAAAAATATAACCTACTCATACAAATAATAAATAAAATCAACAATATACCATTAGCGCAATGCTTAAATGACCAGCTGCTGTACAACACATCACAAGTTCAATTCAACTCCAACATGAATAACATTCACAATTTATTATTGCAAATATGTATATGAATTTATTCGTATATAAACAAACCCAAATGTTGTTATTTACTTATTAATAATATTTTAATAAACGTTTATGAAACCCGCAAGAAGAATAAAGGTGGTGTATAAAATACATTCAACTCTACTGTCACCACACGACACACACAGGTAACGTATAAACATAAACACATAACATAACATCACGCCTTTTATCCCCAAAGGGGTAGGCAGAGGAGCACATTATATCATCTAACACCCACTTCTCACTATATATATTATGAGTCCCATGTAATAGGTGGTGAGCCTATTGCCATATACCGAGCACAATTCCAGACTCCATACTATAATACTGAGATTTTTTTAAAAACCCAGTAATACTTAGCGCGACCCGGTTATCGAACACGAGACTCCTTGCCCGGCAGTCGCACTTGCGACCACTCGGCCAACGAGGCAGTCAGCTTTATATATTAGTATTATTTTAATTTTGAACGTGATTTTAACGTGAGTAAAGTTGACAGTGTGTCGAGCAGGGTAGCGTACCTTATACTCAGAATATCACACCGGTATTCGCTGAAGGTCATACAGGTATATGCGCCGACCTCGACACACTGCGATGATGAAGTAGAGGCTCTGTATGAGGAAATTTCCCAAGCCATACACACCTCCGAAGCACACTTCACCGTTGTCATGGGGGATTTCAACGCGAAGGTGGGCACACGGAACGGCGAAGAGCTGAGAATGGGGCCATTTGGATATGGGCAGCGAAACCGTCGGGGCCAGCGGCTGGTCGACTTTATGGAGAGGGAGAGACTCTTTTTAATGAACTCCTTCTTCCGAAAGCGACCAGCTAAGAGGTGGACGTGGATAAGTCCCGATGGTTACACCAAAAATGAGATCGACTTCATCATGGCGACCGACAAGCGCATATTCAGTGATGTCTCTGTGATAGCTAAGGTGAAAACCGGCAGCGATCACCGTATTGTCAGAGGCACACTGAATATCAATGTCAAGCTGGAGAGGTCACGCCTGGTGAGGTCCACACTCCGTCCTGGTCGCGCCCAGGTCCAGAACCCCGAACAGTTCCAGCTCCAACTGCATAATCGCTTCCAGTGCCTGGCTGAGTGTGAAACGATTGACGAGTTAAATAATGGGTTAGTGGAAACTGTCCAAACGGTGGGCTCAGAGTTTTTCAAAAACCCACGCCGAAATAGACCTCAAAAGCTCTCGAAAGAAACACTTAAATTATTGAAAGACCGACACGAGATGAGGCTGCAGTCTTCAGTTGACATGTCTGGATATGGCAAACTTAATAGGCGAATTTCAAAGTCTATGCGACGCGACCTGCGTGCATATAACGCCGCACGAGTCAGGGATGCCATAGAGCGAAATCAGGGCGCAAAAGTATTCGCAAGGAATTCGTCTGTTGGGCAAAGCCAAATGACGAAACTGAAGACCGAAAATGGCAGCATCGTTTCGTCGAAGCCAGAGATTCTGAGAGAGCTTGAAAGGTTCTACGGACAGTTATACACCTCGACACGGCAACCCATTGTCGGTACAGCTCGGGATCCTAGAGCTAAACTGACACGGCACTATACCGAGGATATCCCAGACATCAGCCTGTATGAGATTAGGATGGCTCTCAGACAGCTCAAAAATAACAAGGCACCGGGTGATGACGGAATCACAACAGAACTTCTGCGAGCGGGTGGAAAACCGATACTTTTAGTCCTCCAGAAACTATTCAATTCCGTCATTCTCGAAGGAACTACGCCGAAAGCATGGCAAAGGAGTGTAGTGGTTCTGTTCTTCAAGAAGGGTGACAACTCTTTGTTGAAGAACTATAGACCCATCTCGCTTCTGAGCCATGTATATAAGCTGTTTTCTAGGGTTATCACGAACCGTCTGGAACGCAGGTTTGATGACTTCCAGCCTCCCGAACAAGCCGGGTTCCGGAAAGGCTTTAGCACCATAGACCACATTCATACGCTGCGGCAAGTTATACAGAAGACTGAGGAGTATAACTTGCCACTATGCTTGGCGTTTGTGGACTATGAAAAAGCCTTTGATTCGATCGAGACCTGGGCGGTGCTGCAGTCTCTCCAGCGATGCCATATCGACTACAGATATATCGAGGTGCTAAAGTGTTTGTATAGAAACGCCACCATGCGCATCCGACTCCAGGAAGATAGCACGGAACCAATCCAATTGCAGAAAGGCGTGAGACAGGGAGACGTGATTTCTCCGAAACTGTTCACCAACGCATTGGAGGACGTTTTCAAGCTTTTAAACTGGAGTGGACTGGGCATCAATATCAATGGCGAATACATCACACACCTCCGCTTCGCCGATGATGTAGTCATCATGGCGGAGTCGCTGGAGGATTTAAACACCATGCTCAGCGACCTCGATATCGTCTCCCAACAGGTGGGTCTTAAAATGAACATGGACAAGACCAAAATCATGTCAAACGTCCATGTTGCACCTGTACCGGTCATCGTTGGGAACGATATCCTCGAAGTTGTAGACCACTACACATACTTAGGGCAGATTATACAGCTAGGTAGGTCCAATTTCGACAAAGAGGTCGCCCGAAGAATCCAACTTGGATGGGCAGCGTTCGGGAAGTTACGCGAAATCTTCTCATCGAAAATCCCTCAGTGCCTAAAGACCAGGATGTTCAACCAGTGTGTGTTGCCGGTGATGACGTATGGTACCGAGACGTGGTCCCTGACCTCTGGCCTTCTGGAGAAGCTCAAAGTCGCTCAGCGTGCGATGGAGAGAGCTATGCTCGGGGTTTCTTTGCGCGACAAAGTCCGAAATATGGAGATTCGCCAAAGAACAAGAGTTACCGACATAGCTCGCAAAATCTGCAGACTGAAGTGGCAATGGGCAGGCCACGTCGCTCGAAGGACTGACGGCAGATGGGCCAGGAAAGTCCTTGAGTGGAGACCACGGACCGGAAGACGAAGCGTGGGCAGACCTCCCGCTAGGTGGACCGACGACATCGCCAGAGTTGCGGGGAGCCAGTGGATGCGGGTGGCGAGTTGTCGTTCGACGTGGAGGGCTAAGGGGGAGGCCTTTGTCCAGCAGTGGACGTCTTCCGGCTGTTGATGATGATGATGATGATTTTAATTTTCCTCACCTTATACCGCCAATATCAATTTCATAATGTCCGCTTAACACATAGTCGTTGTTGATAACTTGCGGCACGCCATTCTTGTCTAAATTCTCCACGAAACCGAGGCAAACCTGGAAATAAATAAAACATAGTAATAACACAATTTCAAATTCCATATTACACAGAAATTTATCAAAAATCTCCAATAAACATTTTTGCCTAACACGGAAACGAACTTAAGACCATGGCAGTAGCACTCGTGACCGCTCGAGTAACAAGGTAATTCGAAAACACAGAAAGTTTCCTATAATTATTTTCCTGACCCGGGAATCAAACCCGAGACCACGACAGTCCTACAGTCCCATTTGCAACCACTTAAGCAACAAAGCAATCAATTATAATTTAGAAACAATAATTATTTTGTTTAGAATAATAGAAACAAATAGATATTCAATCCGGAATCAAATACGAAACCCTTCGCACAGCGCCGCGCGCACATATGCGACCATAGTACATACAATAGCAACGAGGCAAGCAATGAATTTAGAAATAACAATATATTAATTTCATAAGTACTAGACACAAATAAGGGTCCAACCCAGAATCGCACCCGGGACCGTCTTAAGTGCATGTACTGTGGAGCACACAAAACTCTTTCGTGGCGGAATCGAACCTACGACTAATTGTTAACGCTACTCTGTGCGACTGATAGACTGCACTGGACTGTTCATTAGTCCAAAAATGGAAATTATGACAAACCACTTTAAACAACATCACATCACGCCTTTAATTCCTGAAGGTGTAGGCAGAGGTGCACATTACGGCACTTAATGCCACTGTACAATTATAACACTCACTTTTCACTATTAATGTTATGAGTCCCATGTAATAGGGGGTGAGCCTATTTCTATATACCAGACAAGATTTCAGACTCCGTGATACTACTGAGAATTTTTAAAAACCCCAGTAATACTTTGCCCGACCCGGGAATCGAACCCGAGACCCCTTGCCCGGCAGTCGCACTTGCGACCACTCGGCCAACGAGGCAGTCTAAAGTAGATTAGGCTTAATAATCCAATATGGTGCAGTCAACAAGTATTCATTACCAGTGTCAACTTTAATATCAACTTTACACCTATAGAAATAAATTTAATTTTTTTTATTGGGACAAGCCCGCCACAACCTCCCAAAACCGCTGCAACTCCTGTAAGCCAGGATCTACAGTAGATACAACCATGAAAACACCGGAACACTGAAGTCCGGCGCGTCCCAGGAACATGAATAACTTAATGAATAAAATAAAGAAAAAGTCTTGGTTCCGGCAACGAAGTGAATCAGAAGATATTATAAGAGGAGAAGAAAAAAAACATAGTTTCCACTTCCCTCGGTGAATTACTGCAGGAGACAGAGTGAATTAAGCCTGAAGGCACAAAGACAGTTAACTAGGTGAAGCCCAGTCGCCAAGCACAACGGAAATTTGACTAAAAACTAAGTGGGTCCTATGTGTGAGCTGTTATACTTGCTACCAATAATAGGTTTACTAATTTTTCACGCCTTTTTATCCCCGAAGGGGTAGGCAGAGGTGCACACAGAAGTAACACACCTTTCACTATTTATGTTATGATATGAGTCCCATGTAATAGGGGGTGAGCCTATTGCCATATACCGGGCACAATTCCAGACTCCGTATTACTACTGAGATTTTTTTTTTGAAACCCAGTAATTCTTTGCCCGACCCGGGAATCGAAACGGAAAAATCGGGAAGGCAACTATAATATTTATTGATTAATAAACTTCAAATTGCTACAAACCTGTTTTTTGAACGTGAACCCATAACTGGTAGTAGTCGTTTGTCCGCAGTAGTTCCCGTCTCTGTATATCGGTTCCCCGCCCCAAGACCACATGTCGAGTTCATGATCATGGTCTGTGAGTAACAGTTGCACGTATTGGCGACGTATGCCTTCCTCGCGCTGACGAAGCAACGCATCCCTGCCTATAAACTCGATGTCTTTCTGTAAACATATAAATTAATTATTGTAATATAATACTGTTACGTAACATAACATAACATCACACCTTTAATCTCCGAAGGGATAGGCAGAGGTGTACACAGAAGTAACAACCAATATTCACTATTTAAACATAAATAGTGAGCCTATTGCCATATACCGGGCACATTTCCAGACTCCGTGCTACTACTGAGAATTTTTTGTAATACTTTGCCAACGAAGCAGTCATACTGTTATTAAAATGATAAACAAAGTAGGTTTCTAATTTTGCTAGCTACTTAAATATGTTTATAAATACGTTTCAAAACAACCGAAAATGCAATGGCCTCTTTTTACCAATTTAAGGTCTGAGTCTCATGCAAAAAGGGTCTATTGCTACTGCCTTGCTTTTGAAAAGTTTCTAAAAACCACTAATAGTAGTTAGTCTAACGCGGGAAATCGTACCGGAGACCCCTTGAGGCAGCTATTCAATCAATAATCCAGTATTACTAACGATAGGTTTTATTTAGACACCACTGTCATAAAAGTAAAGAAAAACATCGTAAAGACTCCTAATTTCTAGTTATAAGTTTGTAATCGCCAATCCACCTTGAGCAAGCGTGGTGATTATACTCATTCCTTCTTCTTTTAAGAAGAAGCCTTTTCTCAGCAGTGATCACTTATAGAAACAAAGATGGTGACTAAGTATAGGTAAATAGAAAAGTACTAACATCAAATTTAACACGCCACGTACGTCCGCACTCAAGGGGCGTGGTCATCGTGTCCAGATCTTGTCCCCAAAACGCGAAGAACTTCTCGACCCGCAGCGCTCGGCTCGCGTAGTAGCCAACGTGAGAGATTGAGTATTTCTCACCGACTGTCATTAGGCGATTGTAAACGTGGAGGGCGAACTGAAAATAAGGGTTAATGAAGAATTTGTGTGTATTTGACGATCTTAAACACTATTACTACAATTTCTTAATAATACAAACTTTTTATAATAAATAATAATAATAATCTCGACATCCATCTCAGGAGGCTGGCGTTAGGTGGATGGATCAAGGGCCTGATACAGAAGGCAGTTCTCCTATAAACGGCACGTATCGTGAGGAGGTTTCTGTCTCTGGAGCCCTAACCACCGGTAGCTTGCACCATGCTCCCGCTACTGGTCGGCTCCTATTTTTTATATTTTTAAATATATATATTTTTTATTTTGTAAGTAATATTTAAAAATGTAATTTAAAGAGAATTTTAAATAAATATATGGTATAATAATATAGTAATTTTAATCTTATACTTATTATATAAAGCAGAAGAGTTTGTTTTTTTTGTTTATTTGTTTGTTTGAACGAGCTAATCTCCGTAACTACAAATCTGATTTGAATAATTATTTTTGTGTTGGATAGCGCATTTATCAAGGATGGCTATAGGCTATAAAACATCACGCTACGACCAATAGGAGCTGAGCTGAGCGTGTGGAACCGTGCGGAAGTAGCTAGTCTTTTATATGTCGTCGTGTTATTTTCCAATCCGTTCATAGACTTAACATATTTCGGTTGGATTACACAATTTATAATTACTTTTATTCAATTGAAGAAAATCTAATATCACTGTTACTGTTACTGATGTTATAAGACGTCAAAGCCTGAAATACATTTATATTTTTTAAACATTCATTTCAGCCTCGAAAATAAGTAATTTACAATACAATACACTGTAACTAAAATTGTATTATGAACCTGATTGAAAAAGAGTAACCTATGGAGTTTCTTGCTAGTTCTTCTCCATAGGAATCCACACCTTGGAATGAGCAAATAGCTTCACTTGAATTTTTTGTTGACGTTCAAAAGTGCCTTCCTGGTCTAATTGAAATAAATGATTTTGACAATGAAAACACCTACCTCATTAGGAATATACAAGACATATCCCAGCTCCCCAGTGTGCGTCAAGTTCATGGCTCTGATTCCATTAGCCAGGCCAACATCAATCTCTTTGAAGGTGAAGAACGGAAAGTTTGAAGGCGTCAGGTCCGTATCAGTCAGCTCAGAAAGAAGATTCCTTGTAAACGGTCCCATGATACATATGGCTGTATACATAGACGTGACGTCAGAGAGGGTCACTGACCCGTTGGCTGGGAGGTGGCGCTTCATCCAAGCCTTGCAGCGTGTCTGTTGTATGGTCGGCGCTATCATCATGTATCTGAAATATGTTTATTTATTATTTATGTAAACACATACAACACAAAGGACAACACATATATAAAAACGAATCAAAGTTTAGGAGTGGGGGCTAAAACGCCATTTCTACGTATAAAATGTCCATAGAAGTGACGTCACGCGACATTTCAAATCAATATATCGTCGAAAGTATTCGTTTCTGTAAGAAAATAAAAAATACGTGTGTAATGATTTAAAATAATCTACCAGACGGACATTAAAATAAAAATTAGGCATCTTCCCTATTGCTTACCATCAGGTGACCCAATCATAATGAAACTTTATAAGAAGTATACTCACAAGTTCTCTGATATTCTGGCAAGACTGCAATCATTCTCGTAGCCACCTCGTTCGTTCTGCATGCCAGTGTGTATGATACTGCCGACTGGCACGTCCACGTCGTTGGAGCACAGGTACTGCAGCATATCCACGACCTCGCGACCTTGGGACTACGTGTAATAGTCATGTTATTATCAAACTTCGCAGAATTAGAATTACCTCTATATTGGAGTTAATAAGTTAGATTATTGATTTTCTTTTTATATTTAATTTTTTCTAAGATAACTAAGTACTAAATAAAATATACTTAAAAAAACATAACATTACGCCTTTTATCCCCGAAGGGGTAGGCAGATGTGTACATTATGCTACTGTACAATGTAACACACACTTTTCACTATTTATGTTATGGGTCCCATGTAATATGGGGTGAGCCTATTGCCATATACCGGGCACATTTCCAAATTCCGCGCTACTATTGACAGTTTTTTAAAAAATCCAGTAATATTATGTCCGACCGGGGAATCGAACCCGAGATCCCTTGCCCTAGACGTAGCAGTCTAATCTAATAGGAATGATGTTTAGCTAATTTTTATTTCCAACTCGTAATTGGACCTTTTAAGGCGTCAATCACTAAAAGTGGTAACAGTGGTGTATTTACTTATACCAACAATGGTATCTCGATAAAGTTTGATCTGCATCAAACGTTTGCACACGTCAAAAAGTTACACTCATACCTACCTACATGTTTCGACCAATATTTTCTCATTTCCATATATTTGAAGTCATAGAAAATCAGTGTAAAATGGACTTAAAGTTATATCTACATAAAGTTAAGTTTACCTGTATATCGATTTTGGTGAAAGAGGAGTAGTCGGCGAGGCCCACTCGTTCGCGACAGGCCCAGTACTCGCGCTGCACCGTGTCGAACCAGTGCGGCTTGTTGAACGTCTTCGTGTACGCCACTTTGAACGGACGCGGCTTGTCCGGAGGGTCTTTGGGATCTAATATCATACAATTTGTTTAATATTGATTAAACTGTTTGACAGTAAATCTACATGTCTTTTTTTATATATAAGATTTATTATCCTCCACGGACTATTGTCTTTTATTTTATAGTTAAAATTAATTGTTACAAAAGTCTTACGTGCTACATTAACCACATTTTTTTACACAAAGAAGTTTGTGTCTACTATCTACATATCCTCTGCAAGTTGCGGGTATAATTTGTTTTATACCGGGAGCCGGTGTTTCAACAGATAAAGGGATAAACATATGTTTTATTACATTTACTTTAACCCTACTGGATCAGTCCACCCGCGCGATGAGCGAGCCGACCTGCTCCAGTTATCTACATGTTAGGTATGTACTGTTGCCAAAAGACGTTGAGAAAAGCATTGACATAAAAATTAAGTATTATGTCGAAGTTCTGAAATTAAAAGTATTCATAGAAGATTTTTCCAACACTTCGTTGTCAAACTAGGATCTAGCGTGTCGTCCCAAAACAATTAAAATTGTAACTTAACTAAAGGACTTAACTGCGTTAAAAGGGTACCTATAATACCTATGACTCTCAGCATATTGTCTATCTTAAGAAAAGACACTAATGCCGGAATACTGAAACTTTACTCAATTTTAAGTCGTGCTTAAATATCGTGCCTTCTCTGTCATTTAACAAAGAATTTGTGGAGACAGAACTATACTTAAGCGCGACTTAAAATTGAGTAGCGTTTGAGTATTCCGACATTATTGCTATCAACAGCTTGAGATAACCGCAGTTCAATAATTAACTCTTACGAACTTACCCACAGTCTCGAACCACGTAGGTCTCTCGTAGCCCATGACCTGCCCGAATACTGCGCCGTTGTCGCGCAGCGTCGGGTAGATCGGGGACAGCCTCAGGTTGCGCCCGGTCTCGAACTCGTGGAACGGATATGGGAGGCCGTAGTGAACACCTGGAATGATATTACTTTACATCATACAGCCAACGTCGAAGGATCTATGTACCTTAATGATCTCTAAACACTGCTGCATCGAACTGCCTCGTTGGCCAGTGGTCGCAAGTGCCACTGCCGGGCGATGGGTCTCGAATTCAATTCCCGGAAAGTTTTTGAAGAATCTCAGTAGTAGTACGGAGTTTGGAATTGTGCCCGGTATATGGCAATAGGCACACCCATAACCTTAATTACATGGGACTCATAACATAAATAGTGAAAAGTCGGTGTTACATTGTACAGTGGCATTAAGCGCCGTAGCCCGTAATGTGCATCTCTTCGCCTACTTCTTCGAGGATAAAAGGCGTGATATGTTATACGTAATCCCTAAACAAAATGTGCCCCTGATACATTTGCTATGTCATGTCAAGAACCAATAATTTACAGATCACAAAGAAATTGGTCAGGTTGCCTTGCATTTACCGTGCAGTCGTCAATAATAAACAATTTGTTCATACCTAATTATTATATTCTTCAGTTAGATTTTCGGTAGTAGTTGTACTAAAAATATTTTTTTAATGCATACGGATCACCTGATAGTAAGCAATCAGTGCCGCCCATGGACACCAGGAACACCAGGGACATTACAAGTGCGTTACCGGGTTTAGGAATATGAGGATTCTTGTGGATTCAGGGATTGGGGAGAAGAATAGGGATGAGGGATATTTTCGAAGAAAAATGTGAGAAGATCATACCAGGTACTTCCTTGACGCGGTCTCTAAGGAACCTCTTGTTGTTGTGCAGGCCTAGGAACCGGTTGAGGCCAAGCTCGTACATATCGTACTTGGTGTACCCGTCCACGATCTCGTCAGCCGTGGCCTCAGCCACGCCGCCGGCCGCCGATATACCCACGGTCTTCATACCCGCCGCCACGTGGTAGTTAAACATCTGCAATTTTGTTTGATAAGCCTTTTATTCACCAAAAAGTTACGCCAGTTATATTAACGGAGACTAAATGTAGATTTCTTGTATTATGTTCCATTTTATAGGAAAGAGGACTAATATTGGCGAACACAAGTCGTAATTCTAGATGTATGATATAATAGCTGGGCGTTTCATAACGTATGTGTTTATTAGTTGTAGTGACAATGGCGACTATGTGACTATTATTGGAATGTTTATAGTATGATAAAAATATACAGAATATGCTTCATTTAGCTGCTTTAAAATATTGTAATTAGTAATATTCTAAGTATCCCGATAACACTTTGCCTTCCTTGTGCTTACAGAGATTGAACTCTGGCCTTACAGTTAAATGTTTTTACCTTTTATCCTTCAGATTAGAATTGTCCTTCAGACTATCTGTGAGTGTACAGACAGTCTAAAGGACAATTCTACAAAGGACTCGCTTAGTAAATTATAAATATTATCCTTACATTGAAGAAATACACAGTCTTTAATATGAACTTTAGAAAATCAATATTACAAGGATCTTAAATTAAAAATAATAATAACAAAAACGATACCCACTTCATAAGACACAGTTCTACTTACTTGTCCTTTCCTTCATGATAAGGTTAGGTTCGTAAAGTATGAAATGATAGAGCATTAATGGTAACATTTGTAGCCTTTTGACCACCACAATCACTTTACAGACGACAAGCCATAATATAATATACCCAGTACCGTCTTAATTATAAGGGCAATACTAAAGTAGAGAAGTGGCCTTGGGTGGGAATGGACCCATTTATAAAATCATAGTATGTAAAGAATAAGGTCATAAGCAATTTGTGATATAAAAACTAACTTTCACGTTTATTTTTTATCCTTTGGATATGCAATTCCCTGGAACTATTTTTTTTTAATTGGGATAAGCCCGCTACAACCTCCCAAAACCGCTGCAACTCCTGTAAGCCAGGATCTACAGTAGATACAAGCATGAAAACACCGGAACACTGAAGTCCGGCGCGTTCCAGGGACATGAATAACTGTCTTGGTTCCCGCAACGAAGTGAATCAGAAGTTATTATAAGAGGAAAAGAAAAAAATGATAGTTTCCACTTCCCTCGGTGAATTACTGCAGGAGACACAATGAATTAAGCCTGAAGGCACAAAAAAAGAGACTGTACAACTGGGTGAAGCCCAACTAAGTGGGAAGTAATGCTGACAGTGTCCAGGAGGAGCTAGGACTTAAAGATATTGATTTTGAAGTAAAGCCTGTCCTAAGCCACATATTCCTTCTCCGGCCACCGCAAGCACGGGCCTTTGAGCATAGGAAGCTAGCCACAAGGACCGACAATTTCTAAGACGGACACACAATCACTACACGTTGCACATTGCAACGCTCGATTACCGCATTCATTTAAGGTACGAGTGCCACGTACTAAGGGGTTTACATATTCTCATATACCGAGCACAAATCAGATTTCATTTCGGCGAATAATAGATTTGTTCAGTGGGCTTGGTGGACGTGGTGGTCAGAAGGTTAAAATGAAAAATCATCACTAGTTTCTGTAGAGCGGTATACAATGGTAACTTGTAATTATAATTAGATATTATATCTTAAGATATTTTCCATAACAAAGGGTAGAGTTAATTCGTATTCCCATGTGTGAAACCACAAATAGAAACTAGTATTACAATGTTAGTACAGTGAAACATGAAACATTAGGATGTATTAAAAATAGCTTTTACATAATTTATGTATGAAATGAAATGCTACTACAATGCCATACATAGTACATACAATAGAAATCTCGTGTATCATTCAACAAACACATTTAACGAAGAAGAGTAGTAATAAAAGAAAATAAACAAAATAAGTTTTATCTGAACGAAATGTAATCAAAATTATTACTGAATTTGAATCATCCACAAATATCACTTCATTCCTTTTACAGGGTAGGCAGAAGCGCATAGAATGTATGATTAGAATGTAGTACATGGGCCATGTAATACAAAAATACAGACTACTGTATATTTATACTACACAGCTCTCGTAAAACAATCTCACATCTCGTACACGCATTGCCATCTGTAAACGTTTCTGAAAGATGCATTGTATAACTATCCTGAGACTAAATTATGTTGTACGGCTTTCGGTCATTTTCATTAATGCATTTAACTGCAGATTTGCTTGCTTTAACACTATTCTATTGAACTTACGTTCAAATTCTATCTTTAGCTAGCAATTCTACAAATAGATTGGATATTAAAATGTTCGTTACCAATTTTACTATTCGACGGGATATCTCGACCGGTTTCAAGCCACGACAGGACGCACACTCTCAAGAGTAGCAGTAACGCGAAATCAATCGGGTTACCTCGTAAAACAGTTACGCGAATAAGCCGCACAAAATAATTTATTTGATAAATAAAAGTAAGTAAAGTAAGAAATAAAGAAAGAAAAAGAATAGAACAGAACAACAGATACATGAACCGTTCCTTTATTGTGCAAATCTCCTTCTTCTGGTCAGCAACGCAGCAGTAGCAAGTCCCATTCCGTCAAAACATTCGATGTCACGAATTTAGCGAAATTACGGTATTGCTAAAACCCGTGATATTGAACGCTCCGAAGGTTGGGAGAAGTTCTTCTGTCTTCTTTCCTTTCTTCTGTGATACTCTTGGAAAATGTTAATGGAATAAAGTAATTTATGACATGTGATGTTAAGGTCCTACGTTATTAGTTGATGATTAACCTGTTGAGCGCCACGATTGGGTATAGACGACCTATATAAACTGGGCTAATTCACTATTGCACACAAGTTAGTAATTTTTAAGCGCATTGTGTTTGTAGTCTATAGCAAACCGTGGCGCTGAAATAGAAAATAGAAACTCCATGCTTGTTATTGCTAAGCCTATTTTACAAGGGACCAAAACAGTGAGGTAGGACAGTGTGCAGCACAGTACTGCTACTCTTTGACCGCAAAGAATAGCACAAGACTGTTTTAAGTGTGGGAGAGCCATGCTTCGGCACGAATGGGCCGGCTCGACCGGAATGATACCACGGCCTCACAGAAAACCGACGTGAAGCAACGCTTGCGTTGTGTTTCGTCGTGTGAGTGAAGTTACTAGAGGCCCAATTACCTTCCCCTTCCCCAATCTCCCCAATCCCCAACGATCCTCAAACTCCTAATCCCCAAAACGCCGGTGACGCACTTGTATAGCCTCTGGTGTTCCAGGTGTCCATGGGCGACGCCGATTGCTTACCATCAGGTGATTCGTCTGCTAGATTACCGGCTTATGCCATAAAAAAAAGAAATAATATGCAGCTAAAATTTATATCAAAACAATTAATGTAATTTCGTGACTATAAAGCTCATACCGTGGGCATTGGTATACTTTTAAAAAAAAAGTGTTTGGTTTAAGTACATATTGGGGCCGCAGGCATATGATCCATGTCAGGATGGTGGACCGTTCACTTACGTCAACGGGAATGATCCGTCACGCCTTTTATGTTGAAAGGGACTTAACATTTGTTTAGATAGGGCACTGTGGACTCTCGAATGTTATTTTTAAGCACTTAAGAGCATAGTTGGTATATTATAACCACTTATGTAGAGGAGGGCTATATGTAGACTAGCATTGGACTGTTCCGGGCTGCTGTTAATGAATTATACAACGTTTCAGCTCAGACTACACTAAAAGTTGTAACAAACAATCTGTTTCCCGTCAAATATGACTTGGGTGTCTTCAAGTCCCGAGTGAACAGGTTGCTCATAGGTAGGCGTGCTCCATCGTCGGCCACATCATCGCTTACCACCAGGCGAGATGGTGGCCAAGCGTCGATCTATCAAGTATACAAAAAATAACATTTTTTTTTTCAATGTTTGATATGTATAAATTCTCCACGGACGCTGGGTCCGTACCCTTGCCATACAACAGATTTATATGTTTCTTGCATTTAATAATAGCAATGTTATAATAATAGCATTTAATAATAGTGTTCAGTGACACCCAGTCAAATAGGTCACTGACACCAAACAACTTCACGCCTGTCTCCCATGGGTTTTTTTGTTTTGTTTTTTTAAGTGGGGATAATCATCGAATTACTGCTCCCGCCTGGGTGAGGCGGAAGGGAGTGTCAGACTCTTATTGACTAAAAACCACCCCTTTCCTTCTCCTGCACGTCGAGCGGAGCCCCGGTTACCCGTTAGGTTCTCCGCGACATCTTACAAAGCTTAAGATGTTTTAAATACACTTAGAGCATAAATTACTACTGCGTTTGCACGTAGTTTGGGGTAGACAGAGACTAAGGAACGCCAATTAACGCTAATGTGATTTTTCAAAATGAAAAGTTCTATGTTTAGTAACAATATAGTTCAACTACGCAAGTATAGATTAAATCACATACTGTATCATAAGTTATCATCGAAAAAGCCGCGCCCTTGTCAAGTCCACGCCCTGTATAGGAGTTGTTATATATCATAAAATATATTTGTTTACCCTTTTCGTCGAATAAGAGGCGCAACGTTTGCTGTGTCAACTTAATATTATTGTGTTAGTTCAGAGATGAAAGTGGATAGGTGAGTGTATAAGAAAATAAATATGAAGCATTATATTATATTAGAAGACATGTTAGTTATATATAAGCGTTTATTAGCTATTTATGTATCCACGATTTAACATGAGTGCAGTTTTGTTGTATGTTAGTATATATACAGACTTTAATCTCTTCGGGGGTGAGCAGAAATCATAGAGTGGCCATTTCATGCCCATTTCTTCCATCACCCTAATATAATCTTACACACTCGTCAACTATGACTATTCTGCACCTACCCGATGAGGGATCTTACGATGTTTAGCATTTATGGTTCAAGAAGCCACTAGCAATAATTGTAAGTATAAACACAAACAAAGAAACTTTTTAGACTAACTAAAAAACAAGGTAAGAACCCCTCTGTGGTTCGAAACTAGTATAGCTTTTCTCAGTATATTCACGTGAGTAACCCGCGATTTTTAGTTAGTTTAGTATGTATCACGATAGTTATTATAAAGACATAATATTTTTATAGTTATTTATTACATTGAAATGGCGGACATTTTCAACAATCTATCGGTAGATTGGGTACGTGAAGAAGTTAGATATGCTCTACTAGTTTCAAGCCGCAATCGGGACTCTTATTCATGAGTAGTGTGCGCAGACGCGTCGACGTCGCGCAGCCGACATTTCTGTCACTTTCTTATACAGTAGCGTTTATAATATTAGTAGGATTGATGAGCAGTGCAGGAAAGAGATAAGACCAGACCCAGGACAACAGAATCAAGAGATCAAAGAATTACAATCCTCGGCATGAACCATTGCCACATTTTGTGTATTTTCCCATTATATCTCACTTTAACTTTCAACACTAATTTCTTATCATTCTGACGTTAACTTACTGCCTAGAAAACATGACTAGGACTAAATAATGGCAATAAACCATCACTGCATAGTATAAAACAAAGTCACTATCCGCCGTCTGCCTGTCCCTATGTATGCTTACATCTTTAAACCTACGCAACGGATTTTGATGCGTTTTTTTAATAGATAGAGTGATCTTAGGAAGGCGAGCCGGGGCGGGTCGCTAGTTAAAAAAATACACAATAAGTGAACTGTTTTTATAATAACTATCGTGAGACATACTAAATTAAGTAAAAACGCGGGTTACTCACGTGAATATACTGAGAAAAGCTCTACTAGACCTGAGTGAGCTGCGCGACGTCGCCGCGACCGCGCACGCTGCTCATGAGGAAGAACCCCTCTGTGGTTCGAAACTAGTAGAGCTTTTCTCAGTATATTCACGTAGTAACCCGCGTTTTTACTTAATTTAATAAGTGAACTTATACCCCTACAAAGAAAAATCTAGCTATGGTTCGTGCCAGGGACTATCGAAAGAGTACCAAAATTTTAGCCTTTAAGACTGACCTCTGGTGCTTCGCCGACGATCCACTTGCAATCTGGAGAAAAGGCTTCAAGTCCATTGCATAGTTTGTGCAGCACAGCCTGGCTGAGACTTGGTACACGCTTGAGAAGCTGCTGCAGTAAGACGTGGAAGTGGTCCCAGTCTTCAGGCACACACCGCTGGGACATCGATGTTACTGAGGATTGAGGAGTTAAGGTTTTTTGCTGAAGGAACATAGTACGGTAGAGTATTCTTAGAAGAACTTCTTAAGAATACTTCTGATGTAACGTAATATCAAGCCTTTTATTCCCGAAGGGGTATGCAGAGGCGCACATTACGGCACTTATTGCCACTGTAAAATATAACACAAGTAAAATATAAAATATAAGTTATGAGCCCCATGTAAAAGGGAGCCTATTGCCATATACCGGGCACAATTCCAAATTCCGTGCTACTACTGAGAATTTTATTTTAAAAACCCAGTAAATCTTTGCCCGACTCGGGAATCGAACCCCTTGCCCGGCACTTGCGACCACTCAGCCAACGAGGCACTCAGTTACTTTTTATACAGTTTTATATTTTTACGTATCATTTTAAGTCCAGTCCACCAAAGACATATAGTATATGATAGAATCGTTTGAGACTGCCTTCCCTGTTTCTAAAATTGAACTGTATACTCAGTAAAAACTGTCCAAATAAAGTTTTGCTCGATTCACCTCTAATTGAAATCAGCCAATGAGAAGTTTATGTCGCATCAAATGAAGAGACAGAGAATCACTTAGATCTTGTAATCATAGTTTTAACTTACTTTCTTCCTCATAAACAGGCTTTGCAATGGGTTCGAAGCCTCCAGCGAGGATGCAGCCGTCCCTCTCACGAAGGTAGATGTAGCCATCAGGATCCCGGATAACTGAATTCAAAATATATTATTAACACAATACGTATCATCGCACATAATTACACAAACATGTGTGGGAGCTTCGGCACGAATGGGCCGGTTCGACCGGAGTGATACCACGGCCTCACAGAAAACTGACGTGAAACAACGCTTGCGTTGTGTTTTGCCGTGTGACTGAGGTTACGGGAGGCCTAATTAGACCCCCCCCCCCCAGTCTTCCCAATCCCGAATCCTCCACAATCTTCAAATTTCCAAAAGGCCGGCAACGCACTTGTAACGCCTTGGTGTTTCAGGTGTCCATGGGCGGCGACGATTGCTTGCCATCAGGTGACCCGTCCGCTCGTTTACGGGGTTATGCCATAAAAAACACATTTAATGTCAAGACATCCTCTATACACCAGTTATGTTAAGAAGTTAGATGTCGTAAGGAATGAACTTAAAGTCAAAAATCAGCCACATATTCAAAATCAGTGTTGCTACTGACAATTTCTGCAAATCCTAATAATAGTTGAGTGAAACGGGAAATTGGAAAGCCGTAAAAAATCGGGAAATGTCAATATTACAATTCACGAAATTTGAAATCGACATTGGTAATCGTTTAAGTTCACTAAAATGTTTTAAATTAGCTGCACAGTTGGAGCGGTGGCTGGGCATCCAGCTGCCGCGTAACGTGTAGCGGGTTCGATTCTCGTATTGAAAAGAACATCGTAGTGCGACGAGTACAAAAAGTTCCTTATAACTCAATAATTAGTAAATAGGCTATCCAATACAAAAATAATTCAATTCGAACCAGAATTCTAACAAATTCTATAGCTTTATTATCGTATAGATTGCAGAATACGTACCAGGTGTCATAGGGTCTAGGTTTTCAATGGGTTTAGTGTGTAGGTAGTAGTGTTCGCAGGGTAGCAGCGGTACTTTAACTTGAGGACGAGCGAGTTGACCAACCTGGAAAGACAAATATATACATAGCACCACATAAATAAATACATACACATCACATAAACAGCCTATAAGTGGCTACTATTGACAAAGGCCTCTCACACGGAGAAGGTATTGAGCATCACTAAGCTTGCTAAATGCCGGTTGCCGAAATAATTACATACGTACAGACATAATAGAGATAAATACATAAAAGACCTAAAAGAAAACTTATTCAGAACGTTTCGTTTGTGTTCGTACTATGTTCATTCGCTTCAGTCAGAACAAAATCGCACTCATCTAGGACGTTGTCAAACTGTAAAATAGGTGTATGTTACGAATTGTAGATTCAATCAGTTTCATAGGAATTTGAGACCGCGCATCCTACTCCAATGCGAATCCCAGGGTGTTTTGAATCTAGTTGAAATTTCCTCGACTCGCACGTGAATCAGTCGTATATTATACTAGCTACTTCCACGCGGTTTCACACGCTCTGCTCAGCTCCTATTGGTCGTAGCGTGATGTTTTAGCCTATAGCCTATAGCCATCCTCGATAAATGTGCTATCCAAAACAAAAATAATTATTCAAGTCAGACTTGTAGTTTACGGAGATTAGCGTGTTTAAACAAACAAACAAAAAAACAAACTCTACCGCTTTATATAATAGTATTTTTTTAAGGGGGGAAAATCATCGCATGACCGCTCCCGCCTGGGTGAGGCGGGAGGGAGTGTCAGACTCTTACTGACTAAAAACCACCCCGTTCCTTCTCCTACACATCGAGCCGGAGCCCCGGTAACCCGTTAGGTTCTCTGCGACTATATAATAGTATAAGATTATATATATAACCAGTTCATTTCAAGCAAACTTTTTGTTTTGTAACTATTCTACATTTGACGCATTTGTTTAACTCACATTTTGTACAACAATATTTTGTGTTATAATTCGTAACCAGTCTACCACATTAAGAGCAAAAGGGAGTCTTACTATCCGCTAATTATGTTTGCCCACAGCGTCATAAAATAGGGGACGAACCCCACACTAGACGTCGCGCAAACCTAAAAAAATCAATGTTAAATAACTACGCAATACATTCAAATGTGAAGCGAAAACTTTGATCTTATTTTTGTTACGAACAGAAAATTTGAAATTAACAAAGATTTTATTTATTTGGTACGTAGGTAAGAAAATAAAAATTGAACCGAAAAATAACTACGTATGCTTTACAATTAAGCCACATCTTGTGTTGTAAGCATTAGACAAACCTGTGGTCAATCAATGGTTACTGTCTCAGTATTAAAGCTATCTTCCGATACGGAGCCGCGGAAGACTTAACGGGTTGCCGGGGCTCCGGTTCGAAGTGCAGGAGTAGGAACGGGTGGTTTTTTAGTTAGTAAGAGTCTGAACCTCCCTCTCGCCTCACCCGGGCGGGAGAAGTCATTGATGATTTTCCCCACTCAAAAAAAAAAATAACATTAAAGTTATCTTTATTTTCTTCCACTGAATAAGTTAGCTACATACCGGAGGCACTACCGAAGGATTTTTAAAAGAAACCAAGGAGTCTTGACCATTTTGTTCAGATTGACTTAAATCTAATACAATGCTCCTAACTAAATCCTTATTCGCCGGGCGCTAGTCATAACATCCCGGCGTTACCGCGAATGCTGTATAATATTTATTAATAAGTATTAATATTTGGGTCAGATACTGCATGCATAACTACATTTGGTAAAGTAATCAATAACAAAAAAAAACACATTCTGTCTTCACAGTGTCAAATGTCAAACAATCACAATAATAGTTTGTGTTAGGATGTTATGCGCGAAACACAGATCGAATATCTTCGACCACAGCAGGACGCGAGACGTCAAAATAAACACAAAACTTTGTTATTAGTTCGCCAACTAAATATTTCAGTACTTTCATATGAAATAACTACACAAGGTAAAAATTTCAACGACCGAAAATCCTTGGTTCAGTACTAATCATCAAAAGACATTTGGGATTAAAGTTTAAAAACAGATGACAGTGTCGCCGATAAAAAAGTGGCTCAGTGGAATCCAATCAAGACTTAGCCAGACTTAGTGCCAACCCAATCTAGGTCGCAAAACGGAACCCGTTGGGGTTTCACGAAAAAGGTAAAAACATGGGAATCCACTTAACACTAGCTTTTCTGTGGTAAAAAAAAGTAGCCAGGCAGAAATATAGCTGGAATTGACAAAGGAATAAACGTTCGCAATAAAGCAGACACAAATAAAAAACATTACGTCGTATGTCGATGGATAATTTATCATAACCTTTTTTTCACGAAAAATGGTTATAGATAGAAATAACAACTTTCGATATTAACTTTCAAAAACTCGGATCTTTCGAAATTCCCGATTCGAAGAGAAACCACAAACTAAAAGGGGATTTAAATATTTGAGAGACATACATAATCCATTATGTTTTTATAATAACTATCGTGACACATACTAAATTAACTAAAATCGCGGGTTATTCACGTGAATGTACTGAGAAAAGCTCTACTAGTTTCGAACCACAGAGGGGTTCTTCCTCATGAGCAGCGTGGGATGTCGCGAAGCTCGCAGCGCAAGTAGCAACACCGATGCGAGCGCCAACGCCAGCCAGCTCAGTATATTCACGTGAGTAACCCGCGATTTTAGTTAATGATCCATTATCTTCAATTGTTTTAACATAGTGGGAGTTTTCCACTCGGTACAAATGGGACGGGACTGAGAACTTCATGTCATTGTCAATCAATGACAGATTGGATAAATGTCCTTTCTTTTGTGAACAAGATAAAGAACTGAACATTCTTTGACGTTCTTGAACTTCAATCCTTTGTCTAAACAGTTATTCTATTGATAACGTAGATCAAAGTGAAAGAGGTTTCAGAATCACTGTCTTGTCATCTTGTCACAACAATAGACATCCAATTGATGGACAAAAAAGATGTGTTCAAAGAGGAAAAAACTGGATAAAAATCCCTATGTATGTACTTTCATATTCTAAGAACTTAAGATGCTAGCGTGGCCGAGCACTCAAAGAAGGTTTGGGTATAAATCACCACGCTTACTCAAGGCAGATTGGCAATTTCAAAGTTATAATTAGAAATTATAAGTCCAGGTTTCGTCTCGCTCGATGCGTCCCGTCACCGGGTGTCAGTACCTACTCATGAACAGTAACATCCTTACTATAATATTATAAATCGGAAAGTGAGTTTGTTTGTTTGTTTGTTCCACTTTCACGCTGTAACTACTAAACCGATTGCATTGAATTTTTGCAGACGTAAAGTTAGTAGTCAGGATTAAATAATAGGATACTTTTTATCCCGAAAAAATTTGATATTCCCGAGGGAAAACAAAAGTATTGGTATAGATGGCGCTGTGTGTATTGGTATATGTCACATAGGCTACTTTTTATCTTTTTGTGACGCGAGCAAAGCCGCGGGTAAAAGCTAGTGAGTACATAAATAAAATTATATGGGAACACAGAATTAGACAAGGACACAGAACGCAGTCTAGATATTTCGAGAAGGATAACTAATTCATCTTCAATTGAATCTTCCCTTTCAACTTGAATATCCTTGTCAGCAGTTCCCGGCCGTAAATTGCCCATGTTCGATGCAAAGTGACAGCAATTGGTAAATCACATCCGTGTTGCAAGTGGGTACGAATAGGAAAATTGCAGGGCTGTGCACATGCATCCAACGTTCGAGAAGGCACCTATTTAATATACAAATCTAAGCAGTAGCTCGCTAGCAATACCTGAGGGGTCCGCCGCAGATTATATCTAACATTACGACACTCGTGTATTTCTTGAAGAAATGAAGTATTGTGGTGTAGTAGTCGTAAGATATATATTAAGCATCCTATATTCAATATATTCAGTGTATTCTCGGAGCTCGTTGGTTTCATTACACTCATCCAAACACCCAACCTTACAGTATGAAGAAGTATGAATAAACTTTCTTCATACATGACTGAGATAACTAGTTTAATTCTACGTTGTTTATATCTACATACACAGTTTTTCATTGATTCACTTATATAGCCATCAAAACTGCCTCGTTGGCCGAGTGGTCGCAAGTGCGACTGCTGGGCAAGAGGTCTCGGGTTCGATTCCCGGGTCGGGCATAGTATTACTGAGTTTAAAAAATAATCTCAGTAGTAGCACGGAGTCTGGAAATGTACCCGGTGTATGACAATAGGCTTACCCTCTATTACATGGGACTGATAACATAAATACTGGGTGTTACATTGTACAGTGGCATTAGATGCCGCAATGTGCACCTCCTATCCCTTCGGGAATAAAAGGCGTGATGTTATCATCATCAAACGTGTATAGTGAACATTTTTCGAATAGTTTACCACATAAAAATAATTAAGTTTGCGGGGAATCGAACCGCAAATACATTGCTTAGCAGAAAGTCTACACTGAGTCGCTCAAATATCAAAATGGTGCGGGATGCGAAACCCTAACATATATTGCACAGCAACAAATCGCTCAGCCATAAAACCATAGACAAAGCAAAGGTACCAAAATCTGATCGAAATATCGGGACCGAAGGATCGAACTAGGGACAATCAATGCCACAGTTAAGTAACGAATCAATACACAAAACTGCATAAAATTGTATCCATTTTACAGATTACATCATGCCATTCAGAATAGCAATACAATTAAGAATGTTCCTATTGAAAACGCTAATGACAACATCAGTTAACTTAATCGTTTCATCTAATATATGAAAACTAGCGACCCGCCCCAGCTTCGCACGGGTGCAATATGCATGTAATATGTATATAGAACATATAAACCTTCCTTAAGAATCAGTCTATCTATTAAAAAAATTACAACAAAATCCGTTGCGTAGTTTTAAAGATGTAAGCATACATATTGACAGACAGACGGCAGATAGCGACTTTGTTTTATACTATGTAGTGATGATCACGCTAGCAGTACACTGAATGATTCGTATACAGTTTTACAGTCAATCATTAAATTGTTCGACTTTAAAAAAAAATTGAAATAAATGCTTTGATTTTGATCAAGTAAAAGAATAAAATATTTTTTAATAAGTATACTAAGATTTCAATTAATTTATTTATTACTGTGGCTTTGTTGCCTTTATCACTTAAGACGCGGGATCACAAAGCGACGACATTTTTTAAAAGAACATGTTTCGTTATTGCTGTTTATTGTCAGCTATTCTTAATAATATATTTATTGAATTTTTTTTTTAGTGGCGGAAATCATCGAATACCTGCTCCCGCCTGGGTGAGGCGGTGAGGGAGTGTCAGAGTCTTACTGACTAAAAACCACCCCATTCCTTCTCCTGCACGTCGAGCCGGTAACCCGTTAGGTTCTCCGCGACTTATTTATTGAAGTAGGGTTTCCAACAAGGAATATACTTAGCACACATGAGGAGCATTACAAAAAATTAAAAGCTATGTGCTTTCTAAATTATAGGAGGCTAAAACATGGAAAAAATTATAAAAATATACATAAAACAAGCAATAAAAATCAAAAATCGAAATAAATTAGAAGCTAAGAACAAAACATAACTGTAACTTAAAACAATATAAAAGGTCAAAAATGTATGATAGTTTATTTTAATTTCTTTTCATTCTGAATAATTTAATATTTTTGTATTTATAACTAATCATCGTGGGACATGTGAAATTATTTAGGTTGTACGGCTCACTCGCGTAGCTGCGTGACAAGGCAGCTCGACGCATCGTGTCTGTTGTCGCACATACAATATGGCTATGGGCCCCGAGTGTACTTGAAAATAATCGATTAACTCTTGACCATATTTCTCCATAAGATTATACATTTTGGAATGAGAATTAAACTTGAACTTTGACTACAAAGCGACTAAATAATTCTATTTCTTCGCAAATTTCATACAGACAGACTACTAAATTGAAAATTTCAGACGACGATGCCGTCGGCGGTAAACAGATGTACAATTTAAATATGAACTGAGATTATTCTTTTCATAAAAGCCTTTAAGGGAATGACTATTAGAAAAATAAATTAGGAAAATTAGTTTGCCGAAATTGAAATGAGCTCGAATTCTGAGCTTTTCAATTTATTTACCGAAATTAGAATAACCCTTTGTCGATTTTTTTTTCTCTTGGTTCATGGAGTAAGTGGAAACCACATTATTGTATTCTAACGCCATTACAATTCTTTTAATTTAATGTACCTAATTTTATTATATGTATTATATTATTTTTTGTAACATATCTTTGCATGCCAAGTGAAGGCAAAACATGGAGTATCTACAGACTTTGTTAACACCTTTATATTATGTACCCATTTTTGCAAATGAATAAGTAAAATTGATTTTGTAACTGAAGAGTCATAAATACGACCTTATATGCATTTTTCAGGTGAACACGCTTCTTATCCCCAAATATATTTCAATATACTTGTTTCGCGAGAAAAATCTAGCGAGGATTATATTTAAACTTAAACGTTTACAAGTTGCCGGAGGTATTAAAGACCTAGATAATTTGGTTTTTCTTGGGTCATAAATAAATTATTTTGATTTTTCAATCCAATTTAATATTCAAAAATAATTACAATTTCATTCATATATTTGCCGATAGGTATACCTAATTTTCGATTTGTTCTAACATTTTTTTCAGAAATAAGTGTGCTTATTGACTCGAAAATATGACGACGTTACAAGTTCGTTTTTGGTACAAAATTCATAGAACAATATCCTTTTTGACGTTTCGATAAAAGTATTGAATTTGATTAGTTGTAAAATACCGTATTAATATCCCTACTGACAACCCAAAAGTACATAGGTGTATATATGAACGTATGTGTATTTGGTTTTCACGCTACAACGGCTGACTTGATATTGGTGTAATTTATCATAGAGATATAATTGACAATGGAGACGGACAGGCTGCATTCAGCCACGAAAAACATTTTGTTTAGCAATAAACATGATACTCACAGCTTAAACTTTTGTATGTAGTAGTTTCATTTTAACTTATAATTTTTTTTATAAGTTAACTAGTGACGCGCCTTGCTTCGCACGGGTGCAATATGCATGTATTATACATATAAACCTTCCTTAAGAATCACCCTATCTATTAAAAAACCGCATCAAAATCCGTTGCGTAGTTTTAAAGATGTAAGCATACATAGGGACAGACAGGCGGCGGATAGCGACTTTGTTTTATACTATGTAGTGATTATAAAGTTGGTTAACCTATAATTGGCGACTGTATAAGCCCAATGCCTATTGTTACCTGTATTATTTCTTAATACTATGTATATAGAAGCTGTTGGTATGGCTATCTAAAAAAATAAATAAATAGAGTTTATAAAACCCTTATTTCTATAGAGTTGCACTCTTTGCACTATGGAAAAAGGGCAATCGATTCTCGTCCATTGCTACAGTCGAAATGCACAGCGAGTTCCAAAAGTTTTGAAATATTAAAGCGGGTACAGGGTGCTCCCCTTCCCTTTGTACTGTGTAATTAAGTGAAAACTAGCAACCCTCGGACGCAATAAGCACATAAAGGGGGATGAATGCAACAACAATTCTTAAATGTATTTATACTTTGTATTAAAATGTGTATCTTATTATTTAGTTTGAAATACACATTGTTTTCTTTTGTGGATAAAAAGAAATTGTTATGTAAAAAGTCAAATTAATTATTAAAGTATTAACACCAGTATTAAGAGTATAGCCTAGTTTTAAGAGTATAGCCTAGTTTTTGCAACTGCTCAATCTTTACACAAAAAATATGAAGTACCCAAAACACATTTAGTAAAATAATGATAACAGTTTCACATTACCTATGAAATTGCAGTTCTGGCGCGACTATTTTTATTTATTTATATATGCTTTATTATACACATTTAAGTAGCTTAAAACAAACAATTCAAGTAAATATGCGTACAATGGGCGGTCTTATCACACAATGGTGATTTCTTCCAGACAACCGTTGGATGGAAATATTTATAAGAATTTCAATTTAAATTTTTTTTGGCTATGAATTTTACACACAAACTTTTAAAAATTGACTGGGAGACAAGCCCTAGGCATAATAAATCCACCTGTACACATTTGTTGTATTAAATTGAAATAAATAAATAAATAAAAATAATAATTTTTATTTTTCGTATAAAACGGCAATTTCATAGGTAAAGAATAAAATCAGTGACTTGCCTGCCTTGCCCAGAAGCCAGCGCAGTTGACGAAATATTCGCACTCGATCGCGCCATGATTTGTCTCCACTCCGCACACTCGATCGTTCTTCGAAAGCACAGCGGTCACAGAGCAGTCTTCCATCACGCCGACGCCTAAAAAAACAATAAACTTTAACAACAAACCCCAAAAAAAAACTAAATTCACGACAAAACTCCGAAAAATACTCACTGAGGCAACAATTTATATCCAGAAAACATATTATTTTTCGTCAAACTATCAAAGAAAAACCGTTAAAGTATCCAAAGAATAATTGAAAGTTGGAGCGCGGGTCGATAGCGTTAGTGCGTGCGCCTCCAGCCGGAGCTGATGACCATCTAACCGAAGGGGAGACTAAATCTGTCTACATACACCGGCACATAGGCTAGCTATGTACCACACACACAGACCGCTGGACGCGTACATAGTCACCACACCACACTCGGACAGTTACTCTAGGGAGACTACACAGGTCCGGAGTCTGAATTCGCAATATTAAAGTTTTGCAGGATAAAAGGCATGCTTTACACGCTAAAAATGTTTTCGGATAGTCTTTGTAGTAGACAATCGACACGATGTTTTAATTACATTCATTGAATATTACGAAAACAATGTACCTAACAAAGAATGATCAGATGCAACACGAAACTACAATATCTAATCGTATCGTTGGCATTATTGACAAACAATAACTAAAATTCATACCAAAGAATGTCTTGCCAATCAATTTCCTCCGAATTACATGTTGACAATGACGAATATACATACATAATTAGGTCTCAATAAACAAGGCTTTTAATTTTATTATTATTAAACTGCTTTTAGAAAAATAATTTTTCATTACTTGAATTTTACATCGTAATTAATTCCGGGATACCACAAAATTAATTAATCGATGAGTAAGCGATCTCGCAAAAAATAGACAATAACAAAACATGTAGGTACTATAAAATATTACGTAATTGAAAGTATTCACGTACCGTTTTCAATACATTCCCGCATAAGAGCCATGCAGAGCAGGTGAGGGTCGCCAACTCCATCCCCGGGTATCCAGAGCCCACCCAACACGTCGTCCACGTTGAGAAGTGGCCACAGCTCTTGACATTTCTTTGGAGTGACCAACTCGCAAGGTATTCCCCACGAACTGAACAATAACATGCAAAATTAGGGTCAATTCGTACCGCGACACATAAAAAGGGGTGCGCAACTGTCTGGCTGCTTCTGTCTCATTCATTTATAAACACAAGGTCAGAAAATTTTTAACGAACATCAATATTAGTTCATACAACATTAAACATTGTATTTTTGTTTTATCTTGTATTACTTGTATGTACTTTCTGCCTGCGGCTCCGCACGCGTCGAATTTAGAAGATTTTTCTCGAATAAGCTCCGATCTTGCGAGGAATATTGGAAATTTCGGAGCCTTTTCAATGTAAACAATCAAATCTTTCTCTTTATTATATTAGTATAGACAACACCTATTGTAAATATTGTCATACACGGGACAAATCCATCCGCCGCGCCCTGAGAAATTCGCAAACAAAAACCTAATAAAACTTCGTCCGCCCAAGGATTAAGCTGAGTACAATGTTGCCAGTAGAAACTATATCGAATAAAGTATAATGAACATGAACATGGCCACTGTCTGGCGTTACTCTATACATTCTGTTTCGGAACATCATTACGCGAGCCTTAATTGCGAACAATAATAGCCAAATTATTGTACGCTAAGTATTATATTTCTGCACAGGAATAATAATGCTTCAATCGTGCTTGAGAGTGCTGAGAGTTTTAAATAATAACCCAGACTGGGTTCAACCCTAGTTCGTCCAATGGCATTACAAATGACCCCATGGCGACAGCCGGGGACGCCAGTGCATGTAGCGGGATTGCATCCCCTAATTGCATTGGTTCTCATATCACGTTTCACCCTTAAAATAATTAAGCTTATGGGATTGGCGTACGCTGCTCTCAAACGTTCGGCATCCCTTTGAAAATTCAAAATAAAAGTCTTATCAAAGCGTCTGTGCCAGCGAGTCAAACTGACTGAATAGATTAAAAAAACGAAAAACAAAATGGAGGATTTAGCAGCTGTCAATAACGGAGCCGTTTTTACCTCGCCCAGGCAGAGCATATCATTGTGAAATGAAGGAGAAAAGATCGAAAGGACGTCAAGGAAAATAAAGCAATACGTATGACACGTTTTCCATTACTTTATACAGGCAGGTTATTGTTTTTGTTTCATTATTTCAGAACAACTCAAGTGTATGACTGTCTTTGTTGATCAAATAGTCAGATCTCTCTCGAGCTTTGTTTTCCAAATCTTTTCGATTACCTATCGAAATTCCCAGTAACAGCAGGTGGTCGTACTTAGGCAATAGGATTTTTAACTTGGGAACAAAACACTTATGGGCTTAATAGCTACTTACACAGATTGGCTTTTCATTCTCCGGTAGACAGTCATTCGGTCCCTGGTCCTCGCAAGGAGTAAGGATCCACATTGCTTCCACCCCGTCGGTCTGCCCTTAGCCTCTAGATCTTGAAGAAGCCTGATGGAGGACTGAGTCAGTCGGACTTGGGCTAGAGTTGGTTTGAAAGCACCGACAAGACCTGACGAGTGCCATCTGCTGCCGGTGCCGACCCTGCGAAATAATAAGGTAAAAATGAAAAGAAACCACTTGATACACTTCTATAACTTTATTTAATTTCCGTAATTTTTTACTAAACTACATTATATGACATGGCGTATATTGCTCAAGTCAAGCGATCAGACCTGAGATGCCAAGAACTTTCATGATCATCGATTTCAAGACCCGATAATCAATGTGTACAGTATGTTTATACATTAATAAATATTTGTAATCATCATTAATTTAGTTAAAAGAAAATTGTAATGTTAAGTCCGTCAACGAACATTTTCCGGGCGAAAGTTGCAGACCAACTTATAATTTGGAGACCCGATACATTTTTTCTATTAGCAAAATGTCAACCTTCACTCAACTCTTAAACTTTTAATTAAACTTCCACGTAAAATTTTCCAACACCAGGTACGCGGGAATTAACGTCAATTTTTCAATCTTTTATTTTGTAAACTGTGTTTTTTTTTAGTAGTAGCACGGAGTCTGGAAATGTGCCCGGTATATGGCAATAGGCTCACCCCCTATTACTTGGGACTCGTAACATTAATAGTGAAAAGTGTTACATCTGTGTGCACCTCTGCCTACCCCTTCGGAGATAAACGGAGTGATGTTATGTTATGTTATTTTGTAAACTGATCAAAATGAGAATGTCTCCCTAACTAAAGAATAAGTTTACTGAAAACAAATTGATGGGACTGACGGTACATGACACCTTCTATTTGCTGAGAATTTGACGATGTACGATACAATCGATCAATTTCATCATCATCATCATCAACAGCCGGAAGACGTCCACTGCTGGACAAAGGCCTCCCCCTTAGCCCTCCACGTCGAACGACAACTCGCCACCCGCATCCACTGGCTCCCCGCAACTCTGGCGATGTCGTCGGTCCACCTAGCGGGAGGTCTGCCCACGCTTCGTCTTCCGGTCCGTGGTCTCCACTCAAGGACTTTCCTGGCCCATCTGCCGTCAGTCCTTCGAGCGACGTGGCCTGCCCATTGCCACTTCAGTCTGCAGATTTTGCGAGCTATGTCGGTAACTCTTGTTCTTTGGCGAATCTCCATATTTCGGACTTTGTCGCGCAAAGAAACCCCGAGCATAGCTCTCTCCATCGCACGCTGAGCGACTTTGAGCTTCTCCAGAAGGCCAGAGGTCAGGGACCACGTTTCGGTACCATACGTCATCACCGGCAACACACACTGGTTGAACATCCTGGTCTTTAGGCACTGAGGGATTTTCGATGAGAAGATTTCGCGTAACTTCCCGAACGCTGCCCATCCAAGTTGGATTCTTCGGGCGACCTCTTCCTCTCTCCCTCTCGACAAAGAGGTCGATCAATTTGATAACTGACAATTACCTTGTCTTATTGTTACCTTAACTAACTTTTACATGGTAATGTAATTAGTATAAAGTATTGAGCTTTTTTTTAAGGGGGGAAAATCATCGAATGACTGCTCCCGCCTGGGTAAGGCGAGAGGGAGTGTCAGACTCTTACTGACTAAAAACCACCCCGTTCCTTCTCCTGCACATCGAGACGGAGCCCCGGTAACCCGTTAGGTTCTCCGCGACAAAGTATTGAGCATAACTGCTATATTTTCTCAATGAATTAACTGTACACCTGCCCGGGGGATTATCTGTTAAAAGTTGTTCCGCCGTCTTCAGAGAAATTAATAATTACTTAATCCATTCTTTAGCAACTGTTTGAGGAACAAAATCGTTACTAGGCAGTAGTTTAAGTACTCATTAAATATTTCTGAGTACGGCAGTTTGTCTTCGTTTTTATTCTCATTAAAAAGACTGCCTCGTTGGCCAGGCGGCCGCCGGGCAAGGGTTCTCGGCTTCGACTCCCGGGTCGGGCACAGTATTACTGGGTAATTTAAAAATTCTTCGTAGTAGCACGGAGACTGAAATTGTACCCGGTATATGGCAATAGGCTCACCCCCTATTACATGGGACTCATAAAATAAATAGTGAAAAGTGGGTATTACATTGTACAGTAACATTAAGTGCCGTAATGAGCACCTGTGCCTACCCTATTGGAGATAAAAGGCGTGATGTTATGTTATGTTAAATCTCGACCTCGAATAATATAAATCCGCAAAGTCCGTCACGGATATATCGCGCAGTTAATGCGTCGCGATTACTCGTCAACAACCAGCGGCTGCCAGTTTTGAGCGATTATGGTCAATTGAACAAAGGATACCGAATGGAACATGATGCAGTCGTGAACACTGATTGCACGTCCGGTGCATCTGTAAGGCTTTGTCCACAACAAGAGTTTTCAAACTTCATATCAACTTCCTACTTCGTTTGTTGTGATTGTGATCATGAGAGCAGTTTGAGGTGTTACGGTGTTTGTAATATACGGACTTAATTAACTTATGGTAGTGATGATCGAGTTAGCACCAACGCAACTTCAATCCCATACAAAAGTTACACATTCCTAGTTCGGAAAAGTTTTGCAGACGTTTCTAAATATCCTCAGTAACCAGGAGTGTGAAGTTGCCATAGGGTCGCACCCTATTTATCTGCATAGGTTAAAATACCAACGCGTGCGATAAGTGTTTGTTACATTTCCTCTAGCTATTCCTCAGGGAATAAGAGGCATAATGTTATGTAATTGAATATAGCTACATGCTAAGAGACAGCTTGTAACTTTGAACTTTGTAACAATTCCGAACCAATAAAATAATGTTTGTGAAGTTAAACAAAGTGGCCCGAAGGGATGGTTAAAGGTGCAAACGTTATTTAATGTAAAACTTACTTTTGATCCGAACACCGTGTTATACGGACCTGTTTGACATGTCTGATTAATTTTCCATTAACTAATACATTTTTTGACACATTTCGTATGGAGAATACATAATATTATCCGTCAGTCTAATAGAAACCTAATCAGACCATTGACTGACATTGTGAAACAGACCCTTAGTCTCATTAAATAAAGAGGAAGAGGGAGCCTGTAGTACCTCTACATCGAGTACATTACAAAGCAAAGAATACAAAAAATTGAAAAATATGAATTGAAACCGCGACCCCTTGTCAATAGCAGTAGAGTTAAAGACCACTCGACTCGACTTCGTATGAAAAGGCATACAACCGTCGATGGATATAGAAGTGATATCGATTAGTACCTGTCTAGGCTCCCTATGTACGATACGGGCAACAGAGCACTATTGTTAGATAACTTGATTTTAGAATTCGCCAGGGCCCGCAGCCTGGCTACGTCCCCCCTGCAATAACAGCAGACTCGCCCCATGCAACATGGCACAAGGCACTAATAATATTACTAGCAACTGTGTGTGTTCTTGTGTGCTCGCAGTCTGCATTCAATATGAAAGGGGTGCGTTGTTTGTTTGTATGTAAAGGTATGTCTAAGAATGATATTAGCGATTGTGGCTGTGCAATGTACTGGTAATTAATTGCCTTTTGTGATGCTTGTTTAAGGCTCCAGCCACATCGGTTAAGCGACAGCGGTTACAAACCGCGTGAGGTTGTGAAACAAGAAATCGAATACGAGCGGCCGCACTTACGGGTTTTTCTCTATTAAATTAAAAACCACAGCTAAATTTGGATTCGTAAGAGCACTTAGAGGGGCTTAAGACTTTTTTTTTGAGGGGAGAAAGTCACTCAATTATTTTTCTCGCCTTGGGTTAGGCGGGCGGGAGTGTCAGACTCTTACTGACTAAAAACCACCCTGTTCCTACTCCTGCTCTTAGAGCCGGAGCCCCGGCAACCTGTTAGGCCTTCCGCGGCAGAGAGACTTAGGACTTAGGTCACGGTTAGAGAGCGTAACAGCTCGATCATAAAAAAGGCTACGGTATAACTATAGTGGATACTATGGATCCTAACTTCTAGGAATAGCATCGGTCAGAAGATGGATTCACCACAAAATAATGCAAGGATGGCGTCCATTCCGTCTCCTAAGGAAGCATCACAATGCTAAAAACTTTGCGTCTCTGTACTCAAGAGTAGAGCCAACTAGTTTAGACTTTTCGACAAAAAACAACGGAGCTGACACGGCTTGCACACGCGAGACTGTTCGACTTTCAAAAATGCTTAGTATCGCCCGAATACTGCAAAGCTACCCAATTGCAAAGTTGTACTAAAAATCGTGCTATCTCTGTCATTTTACAGAAAATTGTAGTGACAGAACTATAATTTGATTTAGGCTTAGAGTGTGCCCTTAACCACTTATAGGTAAGCTCCATAACAGAGTTTAGGCAGTTATTCCACCGATGCGTGGCGTTAAGCGAAATGCGACTGCGTTGATTTTTTGACGGTTTAGCGACTGAGCGATTTTTTGTACTTTTACTGTTCTACTGCTACGTGTCATGGGTTCAATTCCCGTATAAAACAAAAACAACTCGACAGAATCACCACTCATATTCCTCTTTCAGTTTTAGCTTACTCGAATTCATTTTTTTTTTAAGCATTGTCCCACACTAGGGATTTCTCCTGTGTCGTGGGTGCGTTTACAAACATACAAGTACACATATACGTGACACCCAGACCCGAAACAACAATCTGTGTTCACACAAAGAGTTGTTTCGTGCGGGAAGTGATTCGAACCAGCGACACGTTGCGCGGCAGTCGGTTGCTCAGCCACCGCACTAACAGTGCACTCTTATTATTAATCTTTGTTATTATACTACAGCTTTTTTATGAATGCATTATTTAATGTAATGACACCGCTTTATGTAGCAGGATAATATACGTTTTAAGACAATATTATTATTCATCTGGATTATCAATAGATGTGCATGGTCAACATTAGAAACCGACATTGCAATATACACATTTAATCAGCGCAGTTACCGTGCTGCAAAAAGAAGGAAGATCGTAATAAGATTGTTCTGTTTATTTTTATTTTTGTAGGAATAAACGTTTAATTTATTAAGTACGAGCATTTATTAATTAATCGTTCCTCCATAGCCTCTGCTGCTCCCAAGGGAGATAGGCGGGAGTTAAGAATACATCCAATTAAGTAAGTAGCTTCTGCCAAAGGCTTCATACACAATCTCAGGATATAAAAAGTAGCCTGTTTTATTCCATACCACAGAACATGTAAAGAAGGTTAGAAAGGCCTTGTGGACGGTGCACGCGCGCAGTAATTATGAGCAAACGCTCATAATAAACCGAAATGTCAAAAACCGGCCATCAAACGCGATCTTGTTGTGACGACGTACGAATTTCCGCAAATAATGTTAAATTATGCCGTACTGCAATATTATTCTTTCAAGCATCAGAATTCATGGTGTAAACAAATTCTGCATGAAGTTTTTAGCATTTTATGAGATGCTAATATGTATAAACACTAGTTAGTTACTCAAGTCGGTTATAAACATAATTAAATACCCGTTATATCTAATACAGAGGTTTATTAATATCTTATATACATACAATATGTCTGGAGGTAGAAGAAAATTTAGGTCGGTATAAAAGGCACGTCAAGTGCCGACCGTATATATGCTTTTTTTGTTGTTTCTTCGCCGATATCTCCGTTATTTATGAACCGATTTTGGATTTTTTTTTTTGTTACAACGAAGATAGTCTCAGAATGGTCCCATGATAAGGAAATCAGTATCTGATGATGGAAGACCAGGGAAACCGAGGGGAACTTTTAAAAATTATAGGGTGACTAGTACATTTGTTAATTTTTTCATTAAGTATTAATAACCACTACAATCTGATAAAGGTCTGGAGTCGATCTGATGATGGAACCGAGAGCCAGTCGAGGGAACTCCTCAACGGTTAACAGTAGCAACCTTGTGTTTGGGTTAGATAATTTGTATTGATGAGGACTTTACACCTAGATGAGGTGTGATTGTCATTAAGGGTCTGATGATGAAGTAGTACGATAGTTGAGGAAACTCCTCGACGGTTACCAGTAGCTATGTTGTGTTTAGGTTTGATAATTGGTATTGATGACGACTGTACACCTGGATGGGATGTGATTGTCATTAAGGGTCTGATGATGAAGTAGTACGATAGTTGAGGAAACTCCTCGACGGTTACCAGTAGCTATGTTGTGTTTAGGTTTGATAATTGGTATTGATGACGACTGTACACCTGGATGGGATGTGATTGTCATTAAGGGTCTAATGATGAAGAAGTACGACAGTTGAGGGAACTCCTCAGCGGTTACCAGTAGCTGCCTTGTGTTTGATAATTTGTATTGATGAGGACTTTGCATACATGTGGGTTATGTATAATATAATATATCAAAGTACTAAACTAAAAAGTATTAAATAAATTTAAAAACTGCGTGTAAAAAAACCGACTTCAAAAATTCGTTTGTCTTTAGTGTTTGAAGTCAGTTTTTTTTAAACGCAGTTTTAATATTATCTTGTTCGCGATTCGTCAGACCACTTACGTTTATACTGGCAATCAATATTTGTTTATTAATTTAAGGTTTCAATCATTTTGTCACAATTATCTAGTCGTTCTAGTTAATTTTTTTTTTCTTTTTTTTTCATTTTTTTTTATTATTTTTAGTTTAATTTAATTGTATTGTTATAGTATAATTAAAACTAAAATATTTACACCTTAAAAAATAATAATATTGAAAAAATAATAATAATGAAAAAATAATAATACCTGATGAAAAAATAATAATAATGACAAAAAAAAAATTATAAGGCATCAAAGAAAATATTTTCCTCATCGCTACCGTGAGGTAGGGTGCCCAATTAATTACATTTTTATTAATTACATTTTTATAAAGCCTACCATTGTATTTTTCTTCTTAAAATATAAGTTTTCACCTGGTATCTAATACTAGTTATTTCATTTCTATCACGAAACTGTTACTATTATATAAACACGAACATTTACAAAATTAAAATTGGAAAGTTTCCAATATTAATGCACTTCTGTCATTCCACAAAATGTTAGACAGAGTAGCCTATATTACACTAGCTGTTACCTGCGACTTCGTGCGCGTAGAATAATAACTTCTGGCAAGATTTATGAATTAGTCTTTTCCAGGGTATAATCCATTCAATAACTAAGTTATACCTATCGTGAAATTAATTTAAGTTCGTGGTAAAATAAACAATCCTACACGGGCTTTATCCGTACAGTACCCGCCCTGGGCACCCTGTAAGATTTCAGTGATAAAAACTATTCTACGTCCATTCCTTGGTCGCAAACCCTTGTTGTAGGTACCGAATTTCGACCAAAAAGTGGTTTAAAAGATAGAAAATACCGGGATTTTAAATTTCATTTTACTCGTAGATCTAAACACTTCTCCCGCACGCGCACGGGCTTGAAACGGGCCGTGCGACAGAAATCGTAATATTTTAATTTCACCATAACTTCAAAACTAGACGTCCAATTGGGTATCAAAATTAAAAATCTAATTAGTCCGTCAGTTAGATAATGAAAAAATATTAGACTTTTATTAAGTTGCAAAACTTAGATAAAATGGCGCTAAGTTTAGGAGTGGGAGGTTGTTACGTCATAACGTGCTACAAAATGTGGCACGGTGTGACGTCACACGATATTTCAAATTAATATATTGTCGAAAGTATTTAATGTTGTGAAAAAAGAAAAGGTTTTAAATTAATGTACCAGACGGACATAAAAATAAAATTTAGGAAACTACCCTATTATAATCATTCAAAGTCCAAATATTGTATACATACTGTACTTAGTGATGAAATCATTTATTTTGGTATGGACGTTATTAACATCAGTAAAATAAACCCGTTAAGTGTAGTCCAAACCAATGCAAGATTTTTTAAATAAAAATATGGTCGTTGTGCCTCACTCGACAAAGATAGGTGTAGGTAGTGTGTCGTCTTTTTGGACTTTCTGTTCTAATTAATTGTAGGACTATCAGATGTTCAAAACATTTTATGGGTTTATCTTTTATGGTTTAGGCAGTGTATGCAAAATAAATAACTTTTCTGGTTGATTTATACACCTTGTGTCTGAACATGTTGATGATGAAGTATTCCTCGTAGCGCTCCCGTTTTGAAACGCTCCCATTTCAGCGCTCCCGTTTTGTTCCTCCAAGCGATCCCAAAAGGAGTGCTTCGAGGAACGATTAAAAATAATAAAATGTATTTCCTCGGAGCGCTCCGATGATTAACTTTCGGATAGAGATAGGGCTATACTAACTAAAATTATCGATAATAACTAGGTAATAAGTAGAACACATTGTTATGATATACAACTAGCGGCCCGTCGCGACTACGCACGGGTTTGGTAATTTATTTAGTTTTTGATTTTTTGTAAATCCTTTAGTCCACCACATAGATAAATATAATCTGCCGCCATATGTACACAACACATACCTCGAATTCGTGGAGCATAGCCCATAAACACGTCATTGAGATTCTAGAATTTGTATGTTAGCATTATGACGACAATCTAATAAATTTATTTGCGTTATTTAAGTTTCTCATTTTAATTTGTTTAAATACATAACATCACGCCTTTAATCTCCGCAGGGGTAGACAGAGATGCACATTACGGCACTTAATGCCAATGAAAAATGTAACACCCACTTTTCACTATTTAAGTTATGAGTCCCATGTAATAGGAAGTAAGCCTATTGCCATATACTGGGCACAATTCCAGACTCTGTGCTACTACTGAGAAATTTTAAAAATCCCAGTAATACTTTGCTCGAGCCGGGAATCAACCTCAAGACACGCAGTAAATAAACTATTTGTGGAGAAAATAATTTTCTTTTTATTTAGGTAATTTAAACTGTCAAACACCAAGCGGTCACCGGTGACCGCAACCTATTGTTCTTTAATTGTGTCTATAAATACGGTACTCGACGAGTTAAGGAGCCATATTTATGCATTTTCTTTTCTTGAAATTCGAAAAAGTGCAGGATTCCCATTTTCTATATGGCCTACATTAACAGCCTATAAATGCTCACTGCTGAGCAAAGCCTTCTCATACGGAGAAGGTTTGACTATTAATTACCACGCTTGCTCAATGCGGGTTGGTGTCATGTGCATGTGCACGTGTCCTATTCTGAGAATAAATCTTTACAAGTAAACTTAATTCAAAAAGAGTATATTTTAAATACCTACCTAGTTAGAAGTGAGAATACAGGGTGAAAACATAATGCTTAGGAAAAATAATTAGTTTTTTGCATTATTGATGCTACATCAGCCTTGAGCAGTTGATTACAACTATTAGTACATAAAATTAACATTTAATCTGTCAAACACCGAGCGGTCACCGGTGACCGCGACCTATTGTTCTTTAATTGTGTCTATAAAACCGGTACTTGACGAGTTAATTCCTTACTTTTTTGAAAATAAACCTTATTTTATACCACCACCAGCTCCAGTCATGTTCATTTTTTGGAAGCACTATGTTTAAACCTGGTAGATTAGCTAGTGAGAAACAAAAATTCATTGTAACTAATTGTTTTGTTGTTTGTATCCATTGTTTTTATCCTGCAATAACTGGTGAAACTAAATTGTCACTGATATACCGCTAAAATGACAGTTTAAAGGCAATTACTTATTGCATTATGAGAGCCAGGTACGCAAATAATAAACTAATTACCATACACTTTTGTACTAAGATTCTGTCTTTATTACTTTATTCATTTTCATAATTTAAATAAAATTGTAGGTACAAATCAATTCAGAAAAGATAACAAATGAAAATATGGTAACTATGCAGTCACTTGGTTCATTTTATTCATTATCAAAACTTTTTATAAAATGCTTTTATAACATAAAGTGTGTATTCTTATAGGAAAATAGGTTTTAATTTTGAATAATGATTACATTATAACCATAAGAGCTGCTAAAATGCCTTTTTTATACTGAAAGCTTCAACAAAACTTTCTGTAGTAAAAAAATGGTAAACAGAATATGAATTTAAAAATTGACCAGCAATTTAGTAATTCTATGAAGATATATGTGATGTTTATTGAAATACAAAGGGATGAAATAACCTGAAATATTAATAGATGCAATTTATTACATTGTAATGATGAACGTTGTACTTACTTTTCTTTTTCGATGACAACAGTCTTGTCGCCCCAGCCGCGGCGCGCTAGGTGGTACGCCACAGCGGCCCCCATCATCCCACCGCCACATATCACCACTTTAGCCTTCGGAGGCAACGCTGACAAACAACCCTCTAACCGTTCCTCATAATCAAGAGCATCTAAGCGGCTCGAAAACTTCCTTGACACTATACCTAGACATTTATGTGCATTATACCGCCTCGCTCCCCAAATTTGTTTAACCAACATCGTATATATTAATCACGCATGTGTAATGTAGAAATACAAAATACTGAATGAAAGTGCATTAGAAAAAAATATGCACCGGGACTAAAAAGTATCTAAAAATAATCAACCGATTCGAGAGGACATAATGTTTGTTTTGACGTAAATTTGACACTCTTGACAGAATGACTGACCCGACTCCTGACTTTCTGACTGATCTTCAGTGTTGTCATTGCAAATATGAAAGTAGCAGCAACATAATACGCAAATGAAAAATACTATGAGAAAACAAACCACACAATTCCACATTTTTTTATCGTAAAATAATTATAGCCTTTTGTCACACACGTATTGTCTCGAGGGAACTGAGAGCGTGATTGCCGAATCTTAGAATTGCTCTCAGTCTCGACACCTCCGATTCTATATCAATATTGATCAACGCTATTTCTGTATGTTAGGGATACTGACACAATCCGATTCTATTGGATGTTGGACTAATGGACGTTCTAGCTTCTAATTCTAACCCCCTAATAAATTTACCTTGCGCCAGTTTCTTGGTTTAGAAATGGCCTTCACCAATGGCGTAGCAAGGCTTGGCAGTGCCCATATAAAAATCTTTGTAGTTTGGGGACCCTCAAAACATTATTTAATTTATATTAAACGTTTTTTAAAATGCACAGAGAAAAAATACTGAATAAATTGGCCACCGTTTTTTCAATATGAAACAAGAATTGTAAAACTGCATTAAGTATTCAATTTTCAACACATCTGGAAATCTTTCCAGGATTATTTCTTTTCCTTAAAGCATGTTTTATGCCGAATAAAAATAAAATGCTTATTTTGACTTTTGTGATTTCTGAAATAAAGTAAAAAAATGAAGTAGGTAGGTAATTAAGTTTTAATTTATTAATTTTTGCTTAGGTACACACCCCGTGGAGGTCCCCGTAAACCGGGGGGTCTCGTCTAATTGATATGGAATATGGCAGATACATTGCTAACTATGCCCTTTGCCTTCAATAAATAAGTAGGGTTAAACAAAATCCGATACCTAACTGACAACGATAAAAAATAATCGTTAGGTAATTTCATAATTTTCTTTAGCAGAGTAAACCTTTGGTGGTCGTGGTGGTGGTCGCAAGTGTGACTACCAAAAAATGGTCATAGATTTGCTTCTTGTGTCGACAAAATGTTAAGTATTTCAGTCGCGGATTTGTGGCCTTAGCAAGACAATAAGAGGGGGACCTCTATTGTAATATGATGAACTCCTTCTTCTAGAAGCGCCCGTGATGAGGCCTTTTATGGGATTAACTGAATCGATAAACAAGTAGGTAGGTATATGGATCGCCTGATGGTACCTCGGCCATTTAAGGTTTAGGAATTTAAGAATTGATTGTGTATTTGGGGACTGGTGTAATTAATTGTGGATAGTTAACACGGCCTCAAGGGAAGCCGGCGTGCAACAATTTAATAATGTGCGAAATACGAATGTTTGCTGAAGAACACAGCAACGGCACCACAGAACATAATATAAAGAAGCGGCATCCTTACATTTTTCTATAGGTATTCAGATTCCATGTAAAAACGGACACTGGCGAGTTTGTCGTTTGGTATCGTATTTAGGACTAAGAGCGAAGTCTCTGTTCAGCAGTGTTTTTTTTTAAGGGGGGAAAATTCATCGAATGACTGCTCCCGCCCGGGTGAGACGGGAGGGAGTGTCAGACTCTTACTGACTAAAAACCACCCCGTTCCTACTCCTGCACTTGGAGCCGGAGCCCCGGCAACCCGTTAGGTTCTCCGCGACTGTTCAGCAGTGGATAAAGAGGTCTTCCGTCAATGAAAACTTTAGAAGGCGCAACGTAATATCATATTACGGTAATGTTGAATTACAAATCTATTTAGTTTAATTTTGTGACTATTGTTTTTTGTTGTGTTATCGTTGTCATAACTGCAGGGCTGGTATGGCATGGCTTTTAAAAGAGACTTGGATTTCCAACGCGGAACTTGGATGCCTACTTTCTGTGTGTTTGTTAAATCGATAACTACAAAACGGTTTTGTAACACCTTGGTACCAGCTGTACCAGTTACCAGTAAGTGCCTACCATAGATTCAAAGAGTATAGTAACTATTAGAACTGAGAGGGTTACGTAGATTTCAAAACAAAGATTGTTTATTTTAGTTTCCATAGCAACCGGTGGAGACACTTGTAGGACAGTTTTGTTATTTTTTGAGTTCAATATTTAATAGTTTAAAGGTGATTTTCCCCGCTTACTATGTCGTTGGTTGAAATAACACAGCATGATGAAGTTATTTACACTATTTTGGATAAACCACCTCCAGAGCCACCGAAGACTCCCAGGTACATTCTAAGTTTCTAACTCAGTCGTCAAACTCATAGTACTTGAATGTCTCACCTATTTGTAGATAGGAATGTAGTGGGGTATTTATCCTTTTGTAATATTTTTGGACGCTGGTGCAATTGCCTACATTAAGTACTTGCTTACCTACCTACCAAGCAACTGTCATGCAGGATAAGGACTACTCTAGCCCTCACCTATAATTACCTACTCACACAGGTTGAACTTAATGTTTTCATACCTTTTGAGATGAAATAAATAACATAACATAACATCACGCCTTTTATCTCCGAAGCGGTAGGCAGAGGTGCACATTATGCCACTATCAATGTAACACCCACTTTTCACTACCTATTTATTAATGTTATGAGTCTCATGTAATAGGGGGTGAGCCTATTACCATATGTCGGGCAGAATTACAGACTCCGTGCTACATCTGAGAATTATTTAAAAACCCAATAATACTTTGCCCGACCCAGGAATCGAACCCGAGACCCCTTGCCCGGCAGTCGCACATACGGCCACTCGGCCAACGAGGCAGTCAATAAATAAATAAATAAATAAATTTAATTGGCAAAAGATTTCTGAATCCGCTGCTGCGCAATCCCGAATGCTTAGATTCCTACATAAGTACGCATAAACATAGTATTATCGTAAATAAATCTTCTTGTAAAAAGGCAATAGAGTCACCGAATTTATAGCCACTCCACTTGTGTCTGCTTTGAAAAATCAGCAATAGACACGACTTATCAAATAACTTGAGCATTTTTAATAATGTCTTATTTTTAGGTTTTATTATATTTTTAGGTTTTTAATAATGTCTTATTGTTAGGTGCATCCTCGTTGGCCGAGTGGTCGCAAGTGTGACTGCCGGGCAAGGGGTCTAGGGTTAGATTCCCGGGTCGGGCAAAGTATTACCGGGTTTTTTGAAAATTCTCACATAGCACGGAACTGTCTGGAATTGTGCCCAGTATATGGCAATAGGCTCACCCCCTATTACATGGGACTCATAACATAAATAGTGAAAAGTGGCTGTTACATTGTACAGTGGCATAATGTGAACTTCTGCCTACGCCTTCGGGGATAAAGGGCGTTATGCGTTATGTTATGTTTATGTGTTCTTATTTTTAGGATCACGTGATTTACATTTAGGTACTTTTCTATTCACTCACGACACTATAATTGTTACTATAAATGCAGTATCACAAAACCAGTTATTTAAGAGCAACCACATAACTATAAAATCCATCATCGTGTTACAGATACGAGTCAAAACTTGAAAAAGAATTAAAGGAAGCTAAAAGACCAGAACTCCGTCGTACATTTGGATACGCTGAGACACCACTGAAACCCCCAACAGAGTTTTTAAAAAAGGGAGAAGGCATAGGCCAGCCTATTAAAAAAACTGATCACAAATGTTATGTGTCTGGCAATCTCCCGCCGGTGCCGAAACGACCACCGCCTAAGAAGAAAGAAGAAAAACCTGCAGTCAATTTTAGAGTTATTAATATAAAGAAAGCCATAAAAACGAAGGGGAAACCAGTGGAACCCAGGTAAGTATAGTGTCCTGTCGTAATATCTTTGGTATCGATAACTTAAATATCTATGTACCGACCTGAAGAGCCTGGCGAAGACGGATACGTTAAATGTAACACTCCATTTTTACAGACTCTATAATGTATGTAATTGTGTATGAATGTATGTTTGTATGGGTGCGTGTGTGAAGTAGAATATTGCTACTTTTTAAAGCAGTTATCTGCAGGTTTACATTTAGTTTGCATGACCATAAATAGTAAGCTGCAAAAAAATTAGTTTTTAAAAACATTCTATTTTTTTATTGTTATTCATATGTCATAGGGAGCGAGCGAACTCATAATTATCATATTTTGTAAAAAAATCTTCGGCCTCCGGCTACCGTAAGCGCGGGTCTGCGGATGGCGAGTGGCGAGCACGAGCAACTCGCCCCTCGATCAGGACCTCGCGCGCCTCAAAATCCCATTAGACTACCACATAAGGGGTCCAATAGGCCTGATGCCGATACGAATCCGGGGAAGATTAGATGATTTTCTCCCTTAAGGGAAACTCATCATTAGTATTTTGAGCATGTGTATATTAGGAATACCTACTGAGGACAACCAATTGTACCTACTTTTCTGAATCCGAGAATCGAACCCAAGACCCATTTCTCGGCATTTTCCCTTAAGACAACTCGAATAACGCATCCCAAATCTTCCCTCCTTATAAATCCTACACATTTTGTAAAGTGCAATCAATGGTTAGTTGGAACTCCTTGGTTGGTTTATATAACAATGGCGACCAATCGGCGCGTGTAGACAATTCTAAGGACTTCCCATAATAATGACAATTATTGAACTAGTAGAAACCTAATCAGACGTCACAAAACAGGCCCTTAGCATACCATATATCCTTACAGGTTGGTAGATACAAGAGATGGTCACATAAAGAAGATAAAAGGTTCCGGGGAAGTACCAGAATTCTGTCTCAGGCCAGACTTTGGTCAGATGCCAGCGTACCTGATGAAACGAAACAGAAAAATCCAGAAAGCTCTCGAAAAAATGAAATACGCCGAGGACAACAAAGAAAGTTTGTGCAAACTCATCACTGTTGAAGAACGCCAAAAACTACTTGATGTAAGTTCGATTAAACATAACATAACATAACATCACGCCTTTTATCCCCGAAGGGGTAGGCAGAGGTGCACATTTTGCCACTGTACAATGTAACACCCACTTTTCACTATTTATGTGATGGGTCCCATGTAATAGGGGGTGAGCCTATTGCCATATACCGGGCACAATTCCAGACTCCGTGCTACTACTGAGATTTTTTAAACCTAGTAATACTTTGCCCGACCCGGGAATCGAACCCGAGACCCCTGGCAGTCGCACTTGCGAAACGTTTACTATATCAACCAATTTTAATAATCATAATCAATCCTTGACAATCATCTCACGTAGAGGACACTGGATTGTCAAGAGCTGTAAATGTTAATGATTATGTTAAACCAATTACGATACACGGTTGTCAAGAGTGATAAAAGTTAAATCAAGATTTAACTTGACTGCAGTGGTTGTGCAATCAAGTCCACTTTTGCATGTCATACATAACGTATCACTATCGTGATTTTTCGACTGCACGGTTGGAGCGGTGGCTGGGCAACTGGCTGCCGCGTAACGTGTCGTTCGACTCCCGCATGGAACAACTCTTTGTGTAATCTACAGATTGTTTTTACGGGTATGAGTGGCATGTGTACGTTAATTGTATGTTTGTAAACGCACCCACGACCACGACACAAGAGAAAACCCTTGTGTGGAGCAATTAAAACTAAATTAAAAATATCAATAAAAGTTTAGATTGCTCACTATCGTGTAAATATCCCATCACCAAATTCTGTTATCTCAAACGATTTAGATTTTTTTCTTTTCACAGGATCTAAAACTTAACTGGTCATTGATGCAAAAGGCGTTTCTTCAACTACCAATGCTCACGGATACAATACCAAAGATCCTTCGCAAGACCAAAATGGAGGCAGACCTAAAGCAGTTAGAAAAGGACATAGCTTTAGTTGAGAGCAATCCTTACATTTATATCTACGAATAAGATTCAAGGACTTGTTACTTCAAGTTTTCAATTCATGAACTCATAATGTGATTAGAGGATCGCCATGATACTAGAAAGTTCGAAGTGGATCGTTAAGTAGATTTAGAAAAATCCCTTGACTTAATTAATCAAGGCGGTCGGGTATTATTTTTTATATAAAACCTTTATAATCTTAGAATTACATAACGATTGTTTCTCTTTGGTCTTAGCAATTTCGATCCGCCCCGCTGTCCTTGTGGATGAGTGTGGTTTTCAGTTCCAGTTTAAATTTGTCCTATCCTATTTACACCAATGCCGTCTGCCTGTATCGATCTTACCTCTGACATTTGTGTGTTAATATATAAATAGTACATATGTAGGTGATCGGATGTTCGGAGATTCTGCTGTATTTGCTTTGAGGCTTCTACCTTTATTTAGGTCTCGCGACCTTTACCAAATTGAGTGTCTTTGTTTAGCTGAGACATCTTGTGAGTACACAAGTAAGTTTATGTTATTTAGTTTTTAGTAGGTACCCAAAAATGTGTGCACTTTTTATCAGTATATTTAGAGAAGAATGACATTTTTAATAAATCATGCGTGAAGGATTCCGGTGTTTTATTTTGGCGTTTCACATTATTTCGTAATTGCACCTTGAATTTTAAGTACCTAATCGTCGCCTGATGCTGTACTAAGTAGGTAACTGTGATAAGTTTATACACGGTGTCCCTGAGTGAGGGATCAAACTTAGGATGATCTCTTTCAGCGCACCCGACGTAGAATATAACCGAGTACCACTGAAGAGGTAAAAATTAAATACGCCGAGGAGAACAAAGAAAGTTTGTGCAAACTCATCACTGTTGAAGAACACCAAAAACTACCTACTTGATGTAAGTTCGATTGAACATAACATAACATAACATCACGCCTTTTATCCCGGAAGGGGTAGGCAGAGGTGCACATTATGCCATTCATGCCACGGCAGACGTAGTCAAATGTATTTAAAATTCGCCAAAATTATTACCTGTATTACCTGTGCACTCGACACGTCCACCACTCTGGGCTTAGTCACTTCCATTTCATGAATAGATGCCCTAACACACAAAAACTCAGATCAGGGTGCTTACTCTTGAATCCAATTCCGATCGATCGACATTGGTATTGTGAAATTTCGTACTCTCGATTTGCTACACTAGCGCCCATTGCGTCCGTATTGCGTGGATATTGAATGAACTAAATCGTATTGAGTTTAGCTTTATATTCCGTACTCTGAATTCTATTTCAACAGCTACGATAGGGGTTGTATAGTTTTGACATTGAATAATTATTGCGATTTTATTGGATTGAAATTGCATTGACATTAAGATTGGTTTCAAGAGTAAGCACACTGATCCAATGCATACAGGTAGCTTTTTACTACTAGATATGACTTGTATCTGGCTGACAAGAGAGACCAGTAGTAGGGGTGATTATTAAATTCAGTAACAAATAAAACAATCACATGGGAGACTTGTTGGTAGCGGTGAAGGTTACGCACGTGCTTTTGTCGTTCCTACGTTTAGTCTGTTAGTTTTAGTGTTTTTATTCATAGTGAAGCGAACTGAAAACCTTTTAGTCCTGTGTTGTCGTGTTTTTATCTGTGTGTGTAATTTTTAATAAGGTATTGGTTGTTGTAAGTGAAGTTAACCACTTGTTCCCCCTTTAATCCTAATCTCCGAAATGGACGAGGAGAAACCACCTGACCCTCCTGATAAATCCCCCCAATATGAAACCGAATCAATCCTCACGATTATCCTTCCTCCCAACACCCCGGAATCTGAAACAATGGAGTTAGAAACCGCGAACAGCAGGAAACGACATGCCGGCTCCCCACCTATCTCCCAGAATAATCCCCCAAAATTGGCAAAAAGTACGCACGGTAGACAGTGCTACACGGCCAGGGATAACCCCCCATATATAGTTTATGTATCCCTTAAGGATTCCCAGACGTCTGGAACCACGCTACACCCTGTTAAGTTTGGGATGTTTTTAATGAAACACAACATTAACAATGTTAAAATTGGTGGTGTCAAACGGCTGGGTAGGAATAGAGTATCGGTCGAGTTTGTGTCTCACCAGGATGCAAACAGTTTCTTAGTGAACGGTATGGTGGCTCAAAACTACGTGACCTCGATCCCACAGTTTAACATAACTCGTATGGGCATTGTAAGGGACGTCCCTGTCGAGTGGACAGAGGATGAAATAATTGGTAATATCAGGGTTCCCGCCGGGTGTGGGGCTGTGATAAAAGCTAGGAGGATGAATAGAAGAGTTACATCTACAAATGGTACTGAATGGAAGCCTACGCAAACTGTAGTGCTAACTTTCGATGGTCAAACCCTACCCAAAAAGGTGTTCTGTTTTTATTCAGCACTGCCGGTGGAATTGTACTCATACCCTACCATACAGTGTTATAATTGTTGTCGTTTTGGGCACACCCGCACCCTTTGCCGCTCCAAGCCACGTTGTTTCAGATGTGGCCAGGATCATCCAGGCGATGGATGTCAGATTGCAGCCGAGATTGCCCATTGTATCAACTGCAATGGCAATCACTTTGCTAACGACAAAGCTTGTCCTGAGTTGGGTCGCCAGAAGAGCATCAAAGCATTGATGGCGGAAAAGTCAATCTCATATACGGAAGCAAGCCAAGTTTTCCCAACTGTTAAAAGGTCTTATGCTGAGGTCTCAAGATCAGCCAACCTTATAGTTTCATCTCCCAACAAAACTCCATCCCAACAAAGAGTGTCCTACAAGAAAACAGTCCAACTCAAGCCTAAATCACATGCGCCCCTCTCTCCTAGCTATGATAAGAAGGCCCATCGGGCCCTTATCCAAGACTACTCTTTCTCCCCGTCTAAAAATGGTTGCGCTTTCCCTGTGGAATCCGGAACCAATACTCGTAGCTCCAAGTACATCCTAAATATAGTCTCTGATATGCTCATGGCAGTGCTAGCAAACCCTGCCCAAAATATACCTGACCACGTCGCACACAAACTTTCTACAATTCTAGATTACATCTGTAACATTCCATCCTCTAACACTGCTTCAGTGGAACGTGAGGAGTACTCTTCCCAGGAAGAGTGACTTACTCCACTTGATAAATAAATTTAAACCATCGATTTGTGGCATTGCTGAGACATGGCTTCAACCGAATATTAATTTCGGGATCCCGTGTTTCAGTGTTGTCAGACATGACAGATCTGATGGTTATGGAGGGTGTGCTTTGTTAATTAATAACAAAGTGCCCTTCACCCAGATCCCTCTACCCTTCGTTGGCGATGACATAAATGTTGTCGCTGTTAAGGCTGAGGACATAAATATTTTTGTATTTTATATTGCTCACCCTCATGTTGATCACATTATGTTAATTAAAAGTTTACTAACCTTGGTAAGTGGCCCATTGCTTGTAATGGGTGACTTCAACTGCCACCACTATAGATGGGGTTCAGATGTATGCGATAATGTAGGTATTGAATTAGTAGAGATGCTGGACGAACTCGAATTGTGTGTCATCAATGATGGCAGCCCTACTCGTAGGTCTGCATTTGGTCAAAGAAACAGCTGTGTGGACTTGACCTTCTGCTCGCCTGCTATGGCTGGCGTGCTTAATTGGAGTTGTTTGAATTTGACCTATGGTAGTGATCACTATCCTATCATAATTAAACACCTGTCAAAATCTATTCCAGATAAACCCCTTCCCCCCCTATTAAAATATCGTTTGAATGCAGCTGATTGGGATCTTTATTCAAAATTATTAGACTACCGTATCTCCTTCCTTTCACCAATTAATCCTGAGAATGCTTTGGAGTGTTTCTCAAAATTTTCGGACCTGATAGCCTCCACTGCAGAAGATTGCTTTCCGGTGAAAAACGCACCGAAAGGCAAAATCCCTTCTCCGCCATGGTGGGATAGTGAATGCACTGCCATGATAAGGGCTAGGAATGAGGCTGAAAAGACATATAACCAAGATATGAACCTGGAAAACCTCATAAATTTCAAACGAATTTTGGCTAAGTCAAGGAAATTGTTCAAAAAAAAGAAGAGACAAGGGTGGCAAAGATTTTGTGGTTCTCTGAGCCCATCCACACCAGTATCTACAGTTTGGCAGAGAGTGAAAAATTTCAGGAGCTCCACCAAACCTCCCACTATCTCGATTTTACCCGAATCTCTAAGTAACAGATTTTTAAATAGTATTGCTCCAGTATATGTTCCCAGTGCAGACGAGTGCTGCCAGAGACCCTATGACGAAACACATGAACCGCTCGATTTGGAGTTCTCTTATGAAGAGCTCCAAACGGTACTCAACCATGTCAAGGACTCGGCACCAGGGATTGATGGGTTCCCTTACTCCTTCCTATCTAAGGCAGGAACTAAAACAAAACAATACTACCTTGACTTGGTCAATTTTTGCTTTACTTCAGGTTATATTCCTCCTACTTGGAAGGTTCAGGTTATCATGCCGCTGTTGAAAGCTGGCAAGGATCCTGGTGATCATAAGTCCTACCGACCTATCGCTCTATCGTCCGTACTTATTAAAACTTTTGAACACCTCATTAAAAACCGCCTTGAATGGTTGGTTGAAAGCCGGAGGCTGCTTCCGGCGACTCAGTTTGGCTTCAGGAAAGGTCTGGGTACGGCTGACAGTGTGGGTGTCCTCACGTCAGCCATCCGACTGGCCCTTAGCAGGCAGGAGTCGCTGGTCGCGGTCTTCCTGGACATCTCAGCGGCCTATGATTCTGTCCTCTTACCCCTTCTCAGGCAGAAACTGCAAGAGCTGAGAATCCCGAGTGGGATTTGCCGAATTATAGGCTGTATCCTCTCCAATCGTACCCTCCAATTGAGAACTCCTGAGGATAACCCAGTACAGAGGTCCTCCTGGAAAGGTTTACCTCAGGGGTCAGTCCTTAGTCCTATCCTTTATAATATATATACCTATGACCTCCCCTCCTGTTTAAATTTTAACTGTAATGTCCTTCAGTACGCTG